CCGAAGATATATATGGGAGGTATATCAAAATTGGAAACGATTTCAACAAAACTTAACACATGTCATTATATGCTGAATTTGATACGTTGTGCAAAATTTCGTCGCAATCGGGAAAAATTTGCGTTAATTAGTGCATCATTTAGGAGAAATTGGCCGAAAATATATATGGGAGCTATATCAAAATCTAAACCGATTTCAACAAAACTAAACACACGTCATTATAGGCTCAATTTGGTATGTTGTGCAAAAATTCGTAACCGGAGAAAGATTGGGCCTTTAGTGCACCATTTAGGGAAATCGGACGAAAATATATAGGGGAGCTATATTTAAATCTGAACCTATTTCCACCAATTTCAATAGGGTTCGTCCTTGGACCAAATAAATGAGCTGTGCCAAATTTCATCTCATTCAGATCATAAATGCGACCTGCATTTGGTTTACAATAATACATGGACAGAGGGACATGCGTAAATCGACTCATAAAGAGATTCTTATTCGAGTGACTTACGACTAAACAGTTCCGATGTTTTGAAAAATATTTCATTTATTTTTGCTTTGATTCATTGCCTATATATAAGGTCTACCGGGAGGCGAATTCATGCCTTAGTTTTCCTGTGCTGTCAAGCGTTTACATCGCGAAAAATCAACCATAACAAGGTAAAAATACAAAATATCTTTCGGAATATCACAATAGTATTATTGTGCACGTATACTTTTGTTGGAATAAATATATTTTTCGTATATTTATTCTTCGAAAAATTAATTTTGACATTCAATGAAGACTACAGCTGGCCTTACCGGCAAACCATATAAACAAACCTTGACCAATATACATCACATATATCGGCAATCTATGCAATTTCATGTCAAACTTAGGGACTTTGATGTTTATTTACTACTTTTTAACATAATGTAAACATGTATGGCAAAGCTCGTTTGTATTGTTTGATAACGGCGCTAGTTTGTTTGATAACGGCGTTAGCATCGTTTGAGAACGGTGTTAGTGGCCTCGGAAAATTTTCCGAAACACGGCAACTCTGCCCAACATAAAATATTTAATTTTATAAAAAAATTGATATTACCGATGTATATAAAGGTATTTCTTTTACATAAGGAATAATATTAAGCAGATATTCCTAAAAAGCAATCAAACTCAATTTGTATATAAAATGTCCCCAAAAGTTGAATGTCCCCAAAACTTCCGCTAGATCTATAATTTATCGGGGACTGTCCCCAAAAAACTAAAATGTCCCTAAAAATATCATTGTATCGAAAACCAGAACTACCCAGAACTATCGCTGGACATATATATATATATATATATATATATATATATTCTGGATCAGAGTAAAAGTCTAAGGCGATTTAGCGATGTCCGCCCGTCTGTCTGTCCGTCTGTCTACCTGTCTGTTGTAATTACGCTATCTTTCAAACGAATTGAGAAAGAATCCTAAAATTTTGCAGATGACAGAATTAAAAAAATAGGTTTCTTCTACAGTAAAATTTATTGCAATTTCTAACCACGATAGCTTTGAGGTATATTGTAGATTCCAGACGGATTTTCAACCAAGTTAGTTTAAGAAATATTGGGGTTCAAGCTATTAGATGATATAAATCCTCCCGGCGGAACAGTTTTTAAAAAATATCTTTGCATCGTGATCCTAGAGCTCATTTCATCTCGATTTTTGTTATATAAAAGATTCCTGCCACTTACACTAATTTTTTATTTGATGTCCGATATTCTGTAGACACCTCATAAAGTTGTTATAAAACACTTTCATACATAAAAAATATCTATTCCCCATATTGCGGTGGCACCTGATATTCGCTATTCGAAATTTCAACCGAATTGGCGGAACTTTTGCATATAATATTTGTGATAGGTTATGACATAATCTTCTTAAAGACGCTCATAGGTCTGCTATCGATTTTTATAGAAAAAATAACTCAAACGTTAGGCTCTCAATGGGATGCAAATTGTGTACCTATTCTATTATATAGGCTGCATAGGTTATCTACAAACAGAAATAGAGAATGTAATAAATATAATATTATCTATTGGTACTATTTCTATCAAATATCATTTACTTGTCTTCTCTTACATATAATAGACTGCCCCTAGATCTCTCAAGGGTTCGGGAATTGTAGCTCCTATAATCCCAAAGATTAGGCTGGTTATACAAGGTCAAAAGGTTAAAGATTCTTTATTACTTGAATGGAATTCTATAGCCAGAGTGTACATATTGATCATTTGCTCAGAGCCTACAACAAAAACTCGACTTTGAGAAAAAAAAAATTGTTTAATTTATTTTTCTCCAACAATTATTGAAAATATTTTCAAATAATTATTTTTGTAATGACTTATGTATTGTGACATGAAATATCTCACATGCGCATAAAAAAACTATTCCACTGCGATATCTTTGGAAAAACTTACTCATTTTATGGTTTTATAAAACTCATTAAAATTAGATATGAACACGACAATGATAACCTATAATTCATTTAACCATTGTCGGCCTACATTATGTTGCGGTCTGGCTGTGTGAGTGTCTAGCGCTGATAAGAATGTTAATGCCAGATACTAACAAAACAAGAAAATCAATGTCAATATCGCAAAGCCAAACTAAATTTCTCAACAAAAGCGTTCTCTCATGAAATATGTTGCTCTCAACACTCAATATGTTCAGTCTGAATATTTAACAGCTGATATTGTTTACGAAACACAGACGATAAACAAACCTAAATAACAAAATTATCAAAACAAATAGAAGTGAACACAGTGAAATAACAACAAACTATTGGCCATTGTATAGAATGCATATTATCGCTTTTGAATGAGTAACGCACACGCCAAGAGAGCGGGTATGGTGTAAAATATCTGTGAGTTAATAAAACCTCAAAGCGATTGAAAGAAATGAGTGCGATATGCATGGCAAGAGAGTAACAACAAATGTATTGCAGTTCAGTGTTGGAAGTTGGTCGTACATAGTACCAAAATTACATACATATAGATTTAACTAGTAAGGGAAAGTCAAAAGTCGGGCGGGGCCAACTATATGATACCCTCCACCGCTATGTATACTTAGTAGGGCTCCCGTAACAAAAGAATATCAACATTTGGCTTTAGAGCAGTTACAGTTTGGTTTCAGAGGGAACTAATATATGGGAGGCATATCCAAGCACGTGCATGAAGTGTCTCTAGACCAGGGGTGCTCAAGAAGAAATATCTGTTTTCAGTCAAATTTCTCTTTGCTTATTTAAATCAAGAACAAAACAGTGTTAAGTCATTATTTATACAAATATTTTTTATTCATTTGCTTTATAAACTATTTTGGCAAACATTCGTGTTTAAAAACAATTAAATAGAACAGTAAAATATAAAGAAAAACAGAATTTTAATTTTCTCTTAAATTATCTCTTTTTTCTCTTCATGTTCTAGAACACGGTTTTGAGCACCCCTGCTCTAGACTGAATTCGGTCGAATGTACCAAAATTTAGGACTTTTGGACTGATATTGCCCATTTGGTGCACAATTAACCTGAAATCGGTTGAAGATATGTATGGGAGCTATATCCAAATCTAAACGGATCTTGATAACGAGGTATTTCCGAGATCTATAAGATATCTGGTACCAAATATCATTGTTGTCGAATGCATATTACGAATGTGAGGATGAAACACATATATGGGAGCTATAGCTATATTCGAACTGATTTTCACCAAATTTGATGTACTTGCTTCTAGACTAAATTCGGTCGTATGTACCAAAATTCAGGACTTTTGGACAGATATTGGCCATTTGGGGCACAATTAACCGGAAATCTGTTGAAGATATATATGGGAGCTATATCTAAATCTGAACCGATCTTGTCCTAGGGCCAAACAAATATTATTTGTTTGTGGGTGGTTAGAGGACAAATAGGACCCATATAGGACCTATATAGAAACTTTTCTGCCCGACAAAGGCAGAACTATCAAGTTCAAAAAAAAACCTTTCGAAAATGCTGCTAAAATCATCAAAATACCGAACATCTGGAGTTCCCCTATAGGGTGGGATATAGGTAAGCATGGATCTTTATAGAAACTTCTCTATCATGCATCTGTATAAAAGCAATTCAATTGGAAACTGTGACGAAATAATCAAAATATGTACATTTCTATGGCAGGTATAATAAAATATTGACCTATATATACCACTTTCTGACTGATATGTTGATATTCACAAAAAAAACTTTAAATCGGATCACAGACTTGCTCGATTTCAATCGCAAGTGAAACTCTCTTCCGAGTGGGAGTGCTCAAAAAGTTTGGGGTTTAATTCTGAGTTTGCTCCTCTCTCTTTTGTAGGGGGCTCGAATTACTTTTGCCTGCAAAGTGATTGTGGGAGTTTGCTTTTGTTTCCAACATACATACCAATAAAATAACTGTATGACAATAACTAAAAGAGAATCAGCTCGATCCCGAGTAAATTATACTTCCACTCAAACACGAGCAAAATACGCTCACATTTATTCGAGTGACATCGAAAATGGAGCATGCTCAATTTTTTTCTACTTCCGCTCGTAGTAGAGCGATTTTCCCCATTCCCAATAAAATCAAAATGTCAGATATACCATGCGTATCACCAAAAATTTAGCCATCTAGGCCGAATACTTCCAAAGTTAGAGTGATATCCTCAGGCAGGCAGATGGACTTTTTTAAATCGTCTTAGAAATGTACGCTGATCACAAATATATTGTGGGCCTTTAATGACCATTTTGATGAGTTACAAACGCAAACGACTAACGCAATATACCCTATACACAATAGATGGAAGGTATACAAATGAAAAAGTGAAAATTGATTAATGGGTGGTACAAAAAGGTACCAATATGTACTCATTACATTTTGCCATCACCGACTGGCAAATATTTAAGAGAGAAGCAACAACAGCGATAATATCTTTACAATGTACAAAACATTGAAATATCTTCATGTACAAGCGTTCTGCTTTCTTAACTCAAATTGGTTACATTTGGTATCGAGACTGCAGACTGCGTTAACGCGGAACACGGAAAATTATTATTCAACCATTTGTCGAAGCGGGTAGCGGTTTGGCCACCACATTGATTCATATCACAAAAAAAGTTATTGTCACAATTGAAATCACAACTAAAACCTAGAAAAAAAGAAATTTTATTGGAGACATCACTGTTGACTCATAGCAATTCAATTAATTGAACCAACAATTGTTTCACAATGACAGAAAGGTAAGCAAATCAAAAAAAAAAGTTTCAACGAAAAAAAAAATATCTTTGCAAAAATATTTGCAGTGAATTAATTGTCAAAACTACCTTGGGTCCCATCAAAGGCCGCCAGTGCGTGGGCGTTTATGGTCATGAGTTCTATAGCTTCGAGAAAATTCCCTTTGCTGAAGTTCCCGTTGGCGAGTTGAGGTTTAGGCCGCCACAACCCAAGCAGCCATGGTCGGAAGTGCTGGATTGCACTCAGCCAGCGATAAAGCCACTACAGAAAAACATGCTCACCAATCAATTTGAGGGAAGCGAAGATTGTTTATATTTGAATATTTATACCAAACAGGTTTGTGGACACATAACGTAATCGAAAAATTTAAGAGAGTCGAATGAGAGAAATTTATAGTTCTCTCAATTGGAAATGGATTGCTCACCATTTTAAAATGTGCTCTTTTGTTTTTTTTTTTAGTTGAAATCAGAGAAACCTTTGCCGGTAATTGCGTTTCTCTTTGGTGGAGCCTTTGAAAAGGGTGATCCAACGGCGGATTTACATGGCCCAGACTATTTTATGATGAAGGATGTTATATTTGTTACCATTGGTTATCGATTGGGACCATTTGGTAAATATTATTTCTTATATTCTTTGGAACAATTAATCAATTATTTTCCCTTTGTTTAGGTTTCATGCAATTCAAAGACCCTGAGTTAAATGCTCCCGGCAATAATGGCTTCAAAGATCAACTTGTTGCCTTGCGTTGGATTAAAGAGAATATTGCCAAATTTAATGGTGACCCAGACAACATAACTCTCAGTGGTGAAAGTGCAGGAGCAGCGGCAGCCCATTACCTAATGTGTTGTCCTTTGGCCAAGGGTCTGTTTCACAAAGCCATTTTAATGTCGGGTAACATACTATGTTCCTGGGCTTATCTGTCCTTGGAAAATATACCCTACCGCCTGGCCAAGGCCTGCGGTTACGAGGGACCGGCTGACAATGAAAAACTTATTTTCGAGTACTTAAAACAACAACCTGGCGAAAATTTACTTAAACCCTATGTAAATACAAAAGAAGAAAATCTCAATGATATGCTATTTACCTTTGGACCTTGCATTGAGCCGTATGAAAGTGATCTGTGTATTATAAATAAACATCCGGAACAAATGTTGGGTGAATCATGGGGTAATCATATACCAGTATTAATGAGCGGCACCTCGTTTGAGGGTCTACTTATGTTTCCCCGAGTACATATGGCACAATTTCTGGTGACCGAACTGGAAAATAATCCCCAACATTGTTTACCTCTGTCGCTGAAATCGAAATATCCTGCGGACCTACAGCGGGTGTTGGGAGGAAAAATTAAGGAGACCCACTTTGGTGATAGACCGGCGACAATGGAGAATGTCATGCGATATTGTGAGGTAATGTAACAAAAATGAATATTTTGAGTCTATGTGAACCCATAATGTAAGAAAAGAGGAATTTACATTCGAATGACTTGGTGTCAGGCGAACTACATAATTTTCAACTGTAATTCAGATAACACATTTAGTATTTATAATCTGAAACACAGAAGGTATATTTGAGATTTTAGAAATGTTTGAATTATTGTTTTCTGAAGATTTGAGTCGCATTTTCGAATTGCAGCCGAAAATTGTGTGGAACAATCCAGAACTTTTAGCCTCTTCAGTTTTTTTAAAGTCGTTTTGCCATTATATTGAAGACATTGAAAGATCTTTAAAATAATGGCAATATTTCAATATAATGGAATACTGAAAAGGATCTTCTATAGAAAAAAATGGAATAAAAAACCTTTTTAAGGTTTTTCATAGAATACCTTTGACAGAAAAAAACATCTCACAGGTCTTCTGGGATATTTGTCAAAGATCCATTCTTTTATTGAAAACCGCTTTGTTGCAGTTGTGCTTTTAAAGTCCTCTCGTCCACTTTGATGGCGTCTCAAAGGTTCCCTGTATGATGGAAGACACTTTAAAGTCTTCCCCTCTACAGGTTCTCTATTCTATGGAAGCCTGTAAAATTCCTTCCAAATGCATTCTCTCCTATAGAAGTGCTATTAAAGCTCATTTTTCTATTGGTTATCTCTCTAAGGTCTTCTGTATTTAAAATGTTCTTCATCCTTTGTAATACCTTTCCTTGGCCAAACCTTTCATTGAATCCCCTCTCTTATAGTAGTCCTTTAAAATTCCTCTCGTCTACAATAGACTCTTAACAGGTTCTCTATAAAGCACCATTCTAAAATTTTATATTCTATCGAAGACCTTCCAAAAATACTTTTTTCTATAGGAGACCTTACAAAGGTTTTCTCCTTTATTGGGGAACTGATAAGTCCCCACTTTTTATAGCAAAACGTTCTAAGGTCCTTTCTCCATAAAAAAAAGTTATTCTCTCCAATGAAAGACATTTCGTAGGTTCTCTTCTCTACTAAAGTCCGAAAGGAATTCTAAATAGTATGGGGGTAAATACTATTTAGAATTCCTTTTGTTTCCTATAAAAAACTTTTCAAATATCCTCAATTCCACAAAAAACCTTTCAAATGTCCGTTTTTCCATAAAAGTACTTATAAAAGTTGCTGGTCTATAATGGACAAATCTCTTTGAGAGAAATCTTCGAGGGTCATATTTTTAAAGAAGGCCTGTAAAAGCCCCCTTTTCGATCGAAGATCTTTTCAAAAGTTTTTATTCAAAGGACAATCTCTCAAATGCCACCCATTTTATGGAAGTTCTTCCTAAGGACCCATATTCTATATAAATCCTTTCTAAGGTCTTCTTTCATGTAGACGATTTTTTAAAATAGAGGACCCTTCTGCCATATATAATTCCTTTCAAACGACCTTTATTTAATAGTCATTTCTCAAAGCTCCTCAATTCCCCAGAATATCTTCTCAAAGTCCATTTTCTATTGAAGATGTTCCAAATATCCTCTACCTATTTGAAAACCTCTCTAAGGTCCTCAATTCTATGGGAAACCTTTCTTAAGATTATTATATTATATTCAGAATATATTAAAAGTCATATATTCCGTGGAAGACATTTTTAAAGTCTTCTATTCTCTAGGACATTCTTTACAGATCTTCTGTACTTTCGCACTCTTTTGAAGTGTCTTCCATTCAGTATACAAACATTTTAAGGATTCCTTTTTTATAGGAGTCCTTTCCGTGGTATTTTAATCTATAAAAGGATTTTTATCGGCCTTCTGCCTGTACAAGATATTTCAAAGGCATCTCAATGCTCTCTCAAATTTCTAGTATTCTATATAAGATCCCCGAACAATGAGCCCAGGCCTTGTAACGTCTTCACTTTCATTATTATCGTGTGATTAATATTAACCCCATTTTCATAATGTATAATAAATTAACACACAACCTATATTTAATTTAAATTATAATTAATTTAAATTATAATAAAATTGTATTTTTATGTTAACGTCATTACATTGTAATCCGGTTACAAATGTGTAATATTTTATGTTTTTTTTTTTTATTTTAAAACGAAAAATATTTAATTTTCCAAATCATTTTTAATTTAATTGATACTCCCTTTTGTTCGACTAACAGTACGCTACCTACAAAATATTTTGGCATCCCATTTTGCGCTTCATCAAGGCACGCACAGCGGCTGCACCCACCTACCTGTATCGCTTTGATTTCGATTCGCCCGACTTCAATCATCAACGCATCAAATACTGTGGCAAACAGATGCGTGGCGTCGCACATGTCGACGATCATTCGTATCTGTTCTATGGCAATTTCTCGTGGAAACTATCCCCGGAGACCGATGAATACAAAACCATTGAACGTATGGTTGACATTTGGTACTCATTTGCCGTGCAATCGAATCCCAATGGGGGGACGATTGAAAAGGAGCTGTTAAACGGCAGTTCCTGGTTGCCGGTAAATCAGACGACAAGTGTTGGCAATCTCAAATGTTTAAATATTAATCGAGACTTGGCAATAATTGATTTACCCGAAATGAAAAAGCTGCAAGTGTGGGAGAGCATCTATGAAGAAGATGTGCCGGCATCGCAATGAATGTGAAAAATGAAAACAAGAAAAAAAAAACTAAATAAAATTTGTGTGATTTTTATTATTTTGTAGAGAAAGATAATCATAAATATTTGTATTATATATACCCAAAATATACAGTTAATTAACTTATATTAAAATTTGTGTTAACTTAATTGAAACTCAAATAACCCGTTTTATATAAATGTGAAATTGTGTAGAAAAGACAAGAGACATTAATTAATTGTAAATTAATGGACTGCAATTTATTATTGTAACTTAATATTTTGCATTTATATTAGATGATTGATAAATTTTTATTTACGACAAAAAAAAAACGTGCTAACATTGTTCTATACCAAAAAACATATGGGATTCACTTTTTGGAGAAGGCCCCAAGAGGTTCAAAATTTAAACCTTTAATGCATATCACAAGATTCTTTACGAAAATCGCCCATATTCTTTCAAATATATTTAAGTATAAATTAAGGATTTTTTTTTTCAAATTTGTTTTTTTTAGGGTACAAAAAGTCAAGCTTGACCAAGCCTTTTTCAAATTTTTATTTTATATTTTTGAATTCCCATCAAGTCAATTAAAATTTATTGTTTTGAATCGTATGTGCACATATACCGGCTGATTACAATGATATGTTACGTCAGTAGGTAAGAAGTGCGCAAATCGAAACGTTTAAAAAAAAGTAATGGAATTGGAGCGAGATTTCGGAAAACTTCTCATATTAATAACAAAGTACAAAAACATCAAATTTCAGAATTGCACTCTATATTTAAATAAGTTTATTTGTAGATATATAAAACACAAATTTTCGAGATACTTAAGAGTCACCCATCATTATGAAATTGTACAGACCAAATATGGCCGAGTACAGGGACGTCAGTGTAAAAATATTTACAACGAATTTGGATTGTATTATGCCTTTGAGGGCATACCCTATGCCAAGCCACCCTTGGGAAAATTGAGGTTTCGTGCACCTCAGCCACCAGAGCCATGGCATGGTGTACTCGATTGTTTTAATTGTAAACCAAAACCGGTGCAGATCAATTTAAAGACCCTGTGGTGTGAGGGATCCGAGGATTGTCTGTATTTGAATGTTTACACAAAGAAGGTAAGGAGTTTGACATTTTCAAACGTAAAATGTAATTATAAAATATACTTATTTAACAAGTAAAAAAGAGATTTAATTTAGGTCGAATCGAGTACGATTATACTCTTCACTAGGATGAAAAATTAAATGATATTTAAGTCGGAAATTTTGGTTAAGGTATTTGAAAAGCCAAAAAAAAGGAAGTTTTATTATCATGTTCCACATTCCGTAACGATGCGAACCCCAAATTATAGTGTATGTGATTTAAAATTAAAAAGGCGATCATAAGGATATTCAAATCGGGCAGCGGATAAGGGTACTCGAATAGTACAAGTTTCATACGAAGTTTACTCTCCCCTTTTTATGCCCTCCACCATTCTATGGAGGGTTTATTAACTTTGTCATTCCGTTTGTAACTCTTCGAAATATTTATAATAGACCCTACAAAGTATATATATTCTGGATTAGCGTTAAATTCTTAGACGATCTAACGATGTCCGTATGTCTGTCTGTCTGTCGGACTGTCCATCGAACGAATTGAGATAAAAGGCTAAATTTTTGCATACATCCATAGTTTATCAGTAGACAAGTTAAGTTCGTAAATGGGCCATGTCGGTGCACGTTTTCGTATAGCCCCCATATAACGGTACCTCCCGATATTCGGCATTTTCATGATTTTAGCGACAGTATTTACCAGAATTATTTCAAATGTCATATTCAGAGTTCGAAATGGGTACTACAGCCTATGACAAAAATGTTTGTATGCAGGCCCACGTCTTCGTATAGCCCCTATATAACGGTACATCCCCATATTCGGTATTTTTATGATTTTAGCGACATTATTTACCGGAATTATTTCCAATTTTGTATTTGAAGTTCGTAATGGGTACTACAACCTATGAAAAATATTGTAAGCAGGTCCACGTCTTCGTATAGTCTCCATATAACAGTTTTCATTTAAGTGGTAGTTTCCGGAAGTTTTTTTTTTTACATTTTCAAGTTCCTTCAAAATGGTAGGGGGTATTAAAAGTTCGGCCCGGCGGAACTTAGCTGCTTTTTAACTTGTTTTTATTGAGAAAATAAAACAAGGGAACTGATGAGAATTGGTACTCTTTGCGAAACCTAGGTTTCACTGCCTTACCCCCTGGTAAACATTACCATCGTTCTCCACTAATAAACAAATGTTGTTTTTATAAAACAACAATAATGGGATTAAGCCTGACCATTTTGCAACAAAAAATATTATGGTATCCCTTACAAACAAGGCAACACTGTTCTATTGAGAACGGAGGTTATTTTTTTAGATAAATTAGAGAAGAAAAAGTACTCGAAATACAGAAAGCGCTTACTCTCAGAGTGAAATGCTGTGGAAAAAAATATTCTCTTCTCTTAGCAAACAGATTTTGATGCTAGGAGGGATCGTGTAAAAAGTAAAGAAGAGAAACAAGTAAAAAAGCTGTAAGTTCGGCCGGGCCGAACTTTTAATACCCTCCACCATTTGGTACAAATTTGACAATTTCCAAAAAAAATAAAATAAAATAAAATCCGTTAAAAATTCTGTTAAAATCTTAAAAATACCGAATGCCTATACGACGACGTGGACTTGCATAGGCAACTTTTGTCATAAGTTATTACAATATTTCAATGCAAAACTTGAAGAAAAATCTGCTAAAATCATCAAAACACAGAATATAGGGGGTACCGTTATATGGGGGCTATACGAAGACGTGGACCTGCACAGGCAATTTTCTGACATGGACTGAAGTATCCATTACGAACTTCACATGAGAAATTTGAAACAATCCCGGTAAATAATGTCGCTAAAATCATCAAAATACCGAATATCGGGGGGTACGGTATATGGGGGCCATACGAAGACGTGGACCTACATGGCCCATTTTCTGTTTTATGCTGCAGCATCTATTACGAACTTCAAATGCCAACTTTGAAACGATTCCGGTAAATAATGTCGCCTAAATCATCAAAAATACCGAGTATCGGGGGGTACCGTTATATTGGGGCTATACGAAGACGTGGACCTACACAGATTATTTCCTGTCTTAGGCTGTAGTATCCATTACGAACTTCAAATGCCAAATTTGAAACAATTCCGGTGAATAATGTCGCTACAATCATCAAAATACCGAATATCGGGAGGTCCCGTTATATGGGGGCTATATGCCTGCCTACTGGCAAAATATACATGTGTGCAAAATTTTAGCCTTCTATCTCAATTTGTTCGAAAGATAGCGTGATTAATATGTATACCCATACCCACATAAAAATACCTGTCATTTCAACTCTATAACTACTCCAATTGTTATTTAGAACGTGCAGGCTCGAAAATCTGTATTTTCACTTTGTGTAGTTTTAAAACGATGTACTTTAATGAAAAAATAATTTTTATCTCATGTAGCTCCAAAGTACAACCCCCTTGCCCGTTATGGTACTGATTTTTGGTGGAGGCTTTCAAGTAGGATTTTACGATTACTCCATCTATGCTCCTGACAATCTTATGCAAAAGGATGTCGTCTTTGTTAGCTTCAATTACAGATTGGGGCTCTTCGGTAAGTATTCCCCAAACCACCTCGCACGAAATGCATAACTTATCCCCCGCCCCATTTAGGCTTCTTGTGTTTCGATGACCCGGATCTCCAAATACCCGGTAATGCTGGACTAAAAGATCAAGCTATGGCCCTAAGATGGATAAAGAAAAATATACACAAATTCAATGGAGATCCCGAAAACATTACCGTTTTTGGACAAAGTGCTGGCGGGGCATGTATCCATTATATGATGTTATCACCACGACTGAGGGGTCTCTTTAACAAGGCTATAATTCAATCAGGCTCGGCATTTGGATCCTGGACCATGACGGATCGTCATGATTGGGGTTATAAATATGCCCGGGTTTTGGGTTATGGTGGCAGCCGCAAATACAAACAAGTCTACGAATATTTGAAACAGCAAAACTCACGCCGTTTGGGCTCATACTACCACTCGCTGTTGACCAAAGAATTAGTGCTGGACCATGTGATTTTATTTTTTGTACCTGTTGTTGAACCTTATATTACAGAAGATTGCATAATTGCCAAACCTCTCATGGAATCGCTGGCCAGTGTCTGGGGCAATGAAATTCCATTGATTATAGGTGGCACGTCCTCCGAGGGATTATTTAGCCATGCTGTGGTCAAAAAACATCCCTATATTATAACTGAGTTGGGGGATTTTGTCAATTTTCTGCCACCGGACTTGAGATGTCTCCACAGCGATCAAGATCTAAAGGAATTTGGAGCAAAGCTAAGACAAATATATTTCAATGACAAACAACCCAACGTAGCAGAAGATAAGTTGACATTTTTGCAAATGTCTAGTCACAAAATGTTTTGGCATGGCTTTCTTCGGACAATGAGGGCCCGCCGCAAATACGGAAGTGGGAGTGCTGCCACCTATTGTTATCGTTTCGATTATGACTCAGAAATGTGTAATCCATATCGTTCCCTATGCTGTGATAGTTCGGTGAAGCAGGGCGTTTGCCATGGCGAGGACATGTCATATTTGTTTTATAATTTTATGAACGGCAAGTTGCCTGTGGGAGGTAAAGATTTCAGAGTAATGCAAAATTTAGTCTCAATGTGGTATAGCTTTGCATTGACATCTAATCCGAATTGTAAGGAGATTGCTCCCGTGCAGTGGGAAGAGGTGAAAGATTTTACTAGACACCTTCGATGTCTTAATATTAGTGAACCCATTGAATGTATTGAACTGCCAGAGTGGGATAAACTTCGGTTTTGGGATGAAATGTATGGCGAGGAGAATTTGGTATAAATAATATTAATGTTTAATTTTTAAGTTTAAATAAATTTGATATATTACTTCAAATGTTAATTAAATAAAATTTATCTCTAGGTCATTGTTGTTTATTTATTATTTTCTATATTTCGTCCTCCGCCATCTGCCATGGCAGCAACACAAGGTCGACATCGGCCTTGTGTCAAAACGAATTAAGATAGCAAGCTAAAATTTTGCACAGATCAGTATTTTGTCTGCAAGCAAGTCATGTTCGAAGATAGACTGTATTGGTACACGATATCGTATAGCCCCCATATAACGGTACCTCTCGATATTCGGTATTTTGATAATTTTACCAACATTTTTCAATGATTTTTTTGAAATTCTTCACAGAGAGTTCGTTCTGAGTACTTTGCCTCCTGTAAAAGAATTGTCTATATAGGTCCACAATATCGAATAGCTCCCACACAAACATACATCCTCCAACCTTAAAAAAATAATATTTTGATGATTTTAGCGACATTTTTCTTGGAATTGTTTCAAATTTGGTATTTTAAGTTGGTAATGGATACTACAGCCTATGACAAAAAATTGCGTATGCTAGTCCACATCTTCGTCTAGCCCCAATATAACGATACCTCCAGATATTCGGTATTTTGATGAATTTAAAAAAATATTCACTGGAATTGTTTCAAATTTCGTATTTGAAGCTCGTGATTTCTTCATATAGCCCCCAATTAACGGTACCTCCCGATATTCGTTATTCTGATGATCGTAGCGACATTATTCACAGGAATTGTTTTAAATTTGGTATTTGAAGTTCGTAGTGGATACTACAGCCTATGATAGAAAAAATTGTCTGTGCAGGTCCACGTCTTTGTATAGCCCCCATATAACGGTTCCTCCCGATATTCGGTATTTTGGTGATTTTATCGATATTATTCACCGTAATTGTTTCAAATGTGGTATTTGAAGTTCGTAATGGATACTACAGCTTATGACAGAAAATTGTCTGTGCAGGTCCATATTTTATTATAACCCCTTTGATACCTCCCTATATTCGGTATTTTGATGATTTTAGCCACATTAATCACCGATTTTTTTTCAAGTTTCTAATTTGAATATTATAATAGCTTATGACAAAAGTAGCCCTTAACAGGTTCATGTCATCGTATAGACCCTAATATAACGGCTACATTCGGTACTTTTAAGATTATAATAGAATTTTTAACACTTTTTTTTGAAAATTGCCAAATTAATTCCAACTTAAAGAACATACAGCTTTTTAATTGCTTTTTTTTTTTTTTTTTTTTTTTTTTTTTTGAACAAAAAATGAGAGATTTGTGGAAAATAAAAAAAGAAAAATTCTTGGAAGTCTAAAATTCAATGATTCAGAAAGTGTTACAAGTTCATCAAAAGTATCCGCGAATCCATTTCGTCTATGTTTCTTAAAAATAGAAATAACATCTTAAATAAGTCATTATCTTGTTTCCCCTTCTAACCCACCTCCTCAAATTCACAACCAATTTAAGAAATTCATTCACAAAAATAAAACATCTCCAGCAATTCGTCAAGCCGTCAACGTTCATGAACGTTAAGGCAAATTGAATTGCATTTTCTTCTGTGACATTATAGCACTTTGCAATATTGTCATTTATCTTTAATAGTTACTAATTTGTGTTTGTTTAAAAACGAAACTTTTTACGGGGGATAAAAGCGGAAGAAGAAGAAGAACCCGAAGACGAAGAGGACAAGTTTTGCACAAGTCAAAAACTATGAAATTTAATTTTTCTGTTCAAAAGTTAGACTTTTTAGAGGCAATTGTTGTGAAATGTTAAAGGAGACACTTTGGGCAAGAGAACATTGAAAAGAGGTGGAAGAAGAAGAAGTGCCGAGAAGGTTAAGGAGGTGGATAAAAAAATTAGTCGGTGACATAGAAAGACGAACATTTGTTTAGAGATATTTAAAAACAGAAACGTTTAAGACAAAGAAATAATCTGTAAGACCATGATTTTATCAAATAACACATAAAAGAGATAAAAAACTGCAACAAAGTCAAATGTCATAATTTTTACATTTTTTTTTTTTAAATTTTATTGAATGAAAGCAAAAAATGTCGGAAATAGCATGAAATTTTAGAATAAGTGTTTGGCTTGCTTGTTTGGGATACCATAGTATTTTGTTGTTGCAAAATCGTCAGGCAAAATCCCAAGCCAAACACTGTTCTACTAATAGACAAGGCACGGTCGACGAAGGGGTTTTTGTTGTAACAGACAAAACCAACTTACATGGTTATGCTACTTCGTTCAGGCTGAACGAAAGCATAACAAGTGGAGAATGATGTAAATGTTTATAAGTCCGGTTGTAAGATTTAGAAGACTTTCCAAGAGAATTTTAGTTTTATTTAATTCTTTTGTTCCTCTTCTATTGAGCTTACGATCTAGTCACTTGGGTATAAAAAATGTTTTTTGTCATAGAAGTTCTTTTTTAAAATAACTTCTGGGGAGAATATCCCAGACAAGAAACAAGGGAACTGATGAGGATTGGTGGCTCTTTCCGAAACCCAGGTATTCCCTGCCTTACCCCCTGGTAAACATTACCATCGTTCTCCACTCATAAACAAACGTTGTTTTTATAAAAACAACAATAATGGGATTTTGCCTGACGATTTTGCAACAACAAAATTTTAGAATAAGTTTAGATTTGTTCGAATTTGTCACATTTGATACTAATTATGGTCCTACGGCCAATGAAACCGTCACACACTGCCCGAATGTTGCTTGGGAAGCGCTAGCTTCAGGTGATCGACACTTTGGCAGTTTCTAGTACCAACCTTGCTTTCCAAAATACTCCAGACACAATAGTCCAACGGATTGGTATCCGGAGATTTTGCTGGCCATTGTGCACTGGAAATGAAGCGAGGAACCTCATTTTGTAATCATTCTTGGGTGGCGCGTGCTGAATGCTGAGTTTTGTTGGAATATCCAAGGTCTGCGTCCAAAATGTTAGCGTGCCCAAAGCTTTCATACACCCTCCAGCGACGCGGGTTTCGATCAAGTCACTTCTTTACTTTTCGAACCATTTCTAGTGATGTTTCTGTTTTCTTCCGTCCACTTCCTTGACGTCGGGCTACGCTACCAGTATCAAGGCGATGGTATGAGACACAACAGATTTATTCACATTTAAATGCTGGAGTGCTCTAACGATAGCCTCTTGTGTTTTCAAGCCATATATAAAGAAATCGCACTTTTACGCTTAAATTCCATCACGAATAACTTTTTTCTGGAAAATTCTTACCAAAATGCTTTTGCACGCTTGTAAACAATATAATGAGGTGTCACTGGAATTTAACAGCTGTCGGAACAGTGTATAGGATAATATTTTTTAAATGTCTCTAAGTATATTTTCGTTCTGATACATCACAGGTTATTTTTTATACCCTACACCACATAGTGGTAAGGGTATTATGTCTTTGTGCATTTGTTTGTAACAGGCAGAAGGAAACGAGATAGACTCATAGTTCCTTTTGATGATCTGCATAAAATCACATTCTGAGTCGATTTATGCATGTCCGTCCGTCCGTCTGTCCGTCCGTCCGTCCATCCGTCTGTCCATGTATTCTTGTGAACAAAATGCAGGTCGCATTTATTATCCGATTGAGATGAAATTTTCCAAACAATATTTTTTTGGCCCAAGGACGAACCCTATTGAATTTGGTGAGAATCGGATCAAATTTAGATATAGCTCCCATATATATCTTCATCCGATTTCGGGTTAAATGTGCACCAAATGTCCACTATCAGTCCAAATTACCTGAATGTTGGCACACCCAACCGAGTTCGGCCTAGAAGCAAGTATATCAAATTTGGAGAAAATCGGTTCAGATATAGCTATAGCTCCCATATATATCTTTCATCCGATTTGATCTTGAAGTCCCTCACATTCCTACTATGCACTCCACAACCGTGATATTTGGTACCAGGTATTAGATGGAGCACAGAAATAGCTGTTTTAAATTTTATCGAAATCGGTTCAGATTTGGATATAGCTCCCATATATATCTTCATCCGATTTCGGGTTAATTGACCACCAAATGGACAATATCAGCCCAAATGGCCCGAATTTTGGCATATGTGACCGAGATTAGCCTTAAAGCAAATACAACAAATTTGGAGAAAATCGGTTCAGAGACAGCTATAGCTCCCATATATATGTTTTATCCGATTTGGTGTTTAAGCCTCTCACATTCGTAATATGCACTCCACAAGAATGATATTTGGTACCAGATATAAGATACAGCCCAGAAATAGCTGATTGTAATTTTATCGAAATCGGTTCAGATTTGGATATAGCTCCCATATATATCTTCATCCGATTTCGGGTTAATTGTGCACCAAATAGCTGATATAAGTCCAAATGGACTGAATTTTAGTACATCGGACCAAATTCAGCCTAGGAGCAAGTATATCAAATTTAGTGAAAATCGGTTCAGATTTAGATATAGCAACCATATATATGTTTCATCTGATTTAGTTTTTTAGACCTTTACATTCGTAATATTCACTCCACAACCGTGATATTTGGTACCAGGTATTAGATGGAGCACATGAATAGCTGTTTTAATTTTTATCGAAATCGGTTCAGATTTAGACATAGCTCCCATATATATCTTCATCCGATTTCGGGTTAAATGTGCACTAAATGGTCAATATCAGCCCAAATCACCTGAATTTTCGTACATAAGACCGAATTCAGTCTAGAAGCTAATACGTCAAATTTGGAGAAACCCGGTTCACAGATAGTTATAGTTCGTAAAATGCACGATAGGATTAGATAGATTTTGATTTTGTACCAAATATCTGAAATGCCCTGTATAAACCTTTTTATGAGAGCTCTACTAAATATGCATAGTGGTGTAGGGTATCTATAGTCGGCCCCGCCCGACTTTTGAGCTTTCCTTACTGGTTTTTTAATAAGACAGCGATGTAGCAGAACTGAAACTTATTTAAATATATTAAAAAGAAGAAGACATAGAAAAAATATATATTTTTCATGTGATTCCTTAAAAAAAACACAAAACAGCAAAATAGAAAAGAAAAACAGAAAACCGCGATAACCAAAATATTTTGAACAATAAACCGGTTCAGTAATGTGTTCTAATTCATTTAAATTATTCTACTAGGTCAATGCCGCCACACGCCATAATATTCTTATCTTATTTCCAAATTTTGACACTGATAGTATTTTTGCAGCAACGGGGGTATAACTGAGGACCGGTTAAAAGTAACTCAGGGAGATCGCATTTAGTCGAAGAGTAGATTTGCTCCGAATTGGACGGGAAATAATACCAATGGCTACAGGGTATGTGTTATTTGTTCACTTATACATTTATTAAACCAATGGAAATAACCAATGAAACTATTACCGTTAGCAATGTTATACAATATTCGATTATTATCCGCATAAAGTGATTTGGATATCTAAATATTTCATGTAATTTCAAATGTGTTGCAGAATAAACAAGCGGGTGTGAAAATAATCATTTGATTGTGTGGCTAATTTACAAAAAAAAAATCAATAATGCAAAAAACAAAACACAATAAAACAATAATCTCCATCTTTAAATACTATTTTATGCCAAAAATCATAACAATGGAAAACATTAAATAGTTTGAACGTGCCCTTAAGAAATCGGTATATTTCTGAAGACCTTGTTTGATAAACTGATAATATTTTTGTATTATCAAGAACGTATAAATGAAATAATACCAAAACAACTTTGGAACAAACAATTTCTAGTATTTTGATAAGCAGTAATTAAAGATATTGGAAAGTAGTGCTCGATTGGGTTTGTACTTTGGAAATGATGATGCCAAATAAATTGCAGATTTTATTTTTCTAAGCAAAATGATTATTATTTAAATGTTCCAAAAATGCAAATATTGGCTCATATAACCTACAGTTTTTAAGAACAACGAGGGGTTCCAAGATGTTCACTTTTGTGAGAGTTGTTCAACATTTCCACAGAAGATCGATTTGGGTCCATGTTTTTCATGCCCAGAAATGGGTATATACACATATTTCCTATGGATACCTCCCACACTCGAATTAATATTTTACCCAAAAAAAAGAAAGTTGAAATGTATTTGTTGTTGTAACAGCTCCACATGTTCTGTTTAATTTCTTGTAATGCGGGTCTAACTTCAGGTTCAAAAATTCTGCTTCTTTTGCGGGCTGTAACCAAAAATCTTTCGGAGTGAACGGGGCAGGTTTGGCAATTACCTGCTGCCCTGCCCAAATCGAATTTAAACTACTACTCCCTCTTAAACTTTATTGCGCCAAAACTACTATGGTTTGTTTTGGCAGCCGACTTTCTTCAGCTGCAATAGATGGGGGTAGACTCGGAGGACAGCATTAACATTGTAATTTTTAATAGCATTCGCTATCGCATCGGTATGAATGCCACTCAGGCCTATCTGATGGGCTTCTTCAACTAATAGCTCTCTTATAGCGTCGGACCTCCCTCTCCAGATCATATACGTTCTTCCTGACACGCCGGGATGGGGGAGTTTTATCCACCATATGATGGTTTGTTTGACTACCACGATAACACCCAAGCAGGTACTGCAACGAAAGCGTAAGGTTATGCCGAGGTATGGGAAGGACGAAACCTCAGGGCAGCGTAGAACTTGTATTTCCTTACCACAGACCGTGCTACCAGATCGTGTTATAAGAGGGAAACAAGGTCTCCTTGTCCGCACCCCAAGTGTTGCTGACTAGCCTCTTGAGGACCTTTTTTCTTAATGTGATCGCAATTATATTTCCCTTTTTCATATTTCATATTTTTAAGTGCACCTTCAGCTCTGTTCTCCTATCCACAGACAAGAGGTTAAACAGCCCCGGAGAGATCACATCATCTTTGGTAGCATCAAGTTTCACTCTTTTGTGTTTGGACTTCTTGGATGTACGAGTAGCGTCCATACATATAGTTAGCCGGAGAGTAGTGTGGATACCAACACTATTCTATACAGTTCAGAACTGGTTTAATCCTCGACTGGTATGGTTACAGCGTGCAATGCTGTGGTGCAGTGTTGTAGACGAAGTTCGTGTTGATGGATAGAAACTGGATAGGTTTCTCTAATGCAGGGGAGGAGTTAAACCTTTAGAGCTTTTCCAACTGGTAACTAAAGCCTTTGTTTACACCCTTGTCTGACTTCAGAAGGAGAACCACCCATCTCATTTTTAAGGCTTCGGGAACAATGTGAAAACTTTTGTCAGTTACTCAATTCCCGGTTGTTTCAGCATTGCATTTGAGGGCCCAACGCTTTGGATGACGAAGCTTTCCTTCTCGGATACGACGTAATACTGTTCGCTTCTCCATACATTGGTCGATTTTGTCAATAGCCTGTGGTACCTAAGAAATCGTTCAAAAAATCTATGTTATATTATTGTACGAAAGTTCTACCTTGTATATATTTTGATTCTTAATGTGCTAGGTACCCGAAGGCAAAGAAAGATATTCTCCATATTCACGAAGTTTAGAATTAAAAATGCACTTTTTTTTCATTTGTAGCATATGCGAGTTTTTTACCGTTTGATGGGATGGCAACAAAAAAAAATTGAATTTATGCGAAATTACTATCAAACCTACCACTTGGAGTTTTCCACAACTCATTGACCCTGACATCATAAGGACATTTTGTATGAAATTCGAAGAAATTGATCATATTTTATTATGATACATATTAAGTATACGAACTTCTTTTGTTCAGAGACTTACATTAAAACCTATTTTAGAATATTTCTTCCTTTCGTAAAGTTCTCCAAAAATGCAATTAATAAGGGAGATTTTGACATAGAATGGAAACGTATTAAATTAGATTATTTGAAATTATTTTTCCAACCGTTCCATTCAATTTCTAATTTTAAATTCACTCTCATTTTCAGCACCCCAGATAATCCGATAATTCAAACCAAAACCGGGAAAGTTAAAGGGCAGTTAATTGAATCGATATATGGCGATAAATACTATTATTTCGATGGAATACCCTATGGACAACCGCCGGTGGGAGAGTATAGATTTAAACCACCTCGCCCTGTGCTAAAATGGCCTGGCATCGTGGATTGCACAAAATCGCCGAATAAAAGTCTACAATGGAATTGGCGTTTAAAGGAAGTACAAGGATCAGAGGATTGTCTTTATCTGAATGTCAATGTTAAGAAGTTAGATGCCCATCCTAAGCTACCGGTAATGGTTTACATACATGGCGGCGGTTTTAATGGCGGCGATCCCACTCGTCGAGCCTGGGCACCTGACTATTTTATGATGAAGGATGTAATACTCATTACAGTGGGCTATCGTTTGGGGGCCATGGGTAAAATTGATTTTTGACAAGGCCTACATGAGAACGTACAGAAAATAAAAAATAGACAATAAATGCTCTGTTCCAGAACCTGCCAGAACCGATTTTTCCTTAATGATATCGAAAACAAGTGCAAAACTAGCAGATTCTGGAACAGAGTGCAATTTAGTAGTTTTGTACTGTTGTGATTTGACATTCATTGAATTTCAAATCACAATTAAGCTTTTCGTAGCAAACTTGGTGGCCAGCTGGGCTTTCTAGATGACCTTACATAGGTCTTTCTATTTTATTTTCAATGTGAAATGTTTAATTTATGCCAAATATTTTTAGGTTTTACCAAATTCAATGACCCCTCATTGGGAGTTGCCGGCAACTGTGCCTTACTGGATGCTGTCCTGGCTTTGAAATGGATTGGCGATAATTGCCAATACTTTGGTGGAGATCCTGAAAATATTACCCTGTTCGGCCATAGTTCTGGTAGCCACATGGTCCATATGCTCATGAAGACCCCCATTACAAAGGGTCTCTTCCATAAGGCAATATTATTGGCTGGTTTTCACATGGACCCATTTCCCCATCCCAAGTGGCAATATCGTTTGGCCAAAAAGTTGGGTTTCGATGGCAGAGAAGACGACGAGAAGTCACTGTGTGAATTTCTGACAAATGTGGATGGTTCGAAATTATGTAATTTTGATGTATTCACCGAGGAGGAGAAACAATTATTTGAAATAATTAAAACATATCCCTGCTGGCCGACTATGGACGATACTGTTATCACACAGAATCCTGCCATAGCTCAAAGAACGGCTTGGAGTAACCAAATTCCCTTGATGATGGGTTCGAATTCAACAGAGGCTCTGGGTCAATATAAGAAATTTACCAATCCCGAGACTTATGAAATGTTTAAAAAGAATCCAAGATTGCTGCTGGCGGATAATGTAAAGACTTTGAAGGATGTCAAGTTGATAAAGGAATTGAATAGGAGAATTAAAGAATTGCATTTTGGTGATAAAGAAGTGTCTGTGGAAAATTTTGAAACGGCTTTGATGGTATGAAGAACGGCAATTTGGTTTTCTTTATATGAAATATTTTTAATTTGGAAATTCTTTTTCAGAACGAATCCTACAACATGATCTACCACGATGAACATCGCCTCATCCAATCACGTTTAAAATATGCCTCAGCCCCCACCTATTTGTATCGTTTTGATTTTGATTCGCCATTTTTTAATCTCTATCGCCGACGATTTTGTGGTCCCGATGTCAGGGGTGTGGGTCATGTCGATGAGTTGGGTTACATTTTCCTTTTGCCCGATGCATATAAATTGGATAAGAGTACCCCTGAATACCAGTGTATTGTACAAATGATTGAGACATTATATGCATTTGCCAAGAACTCGGATCCTAATAATCATCTACTGCAGCCCGCTCATTGGGAACCTGTATCACAGCGCAGGTCCGTACCCCACTGTTTGAATATTGGCTATGAACGTACAGAGTTTATACCCTGGCCAGAATATGAAAAGTGCTGTGCTCGAGATGAAACCTACCAAATGACTGACATTGTATTGTATTAGATTTGATTTTAAATACCTGTTAATTTTTAAGCATTCCTGATATAATGGAGAATCAAAATGTATACTTTTTATCAATATGTCTAAAACATTTATTCATAATCAGCCTAAAATTCTTTATTGATATAGCATTGCCTGTCTCTTGAAATAGAGATAGAGCTTGCGCTATTAGCAGTAGACCTTTGGAATTTTGTACAGGATTTGACCGTTTAGGTATAGGGTTTTCAGTTGGCAGTTTAACTCCTTTCAAATATATTCCTGACAATTTTTTAACATTTCGCAAGTTATCTCAGGTGTTTTTATACCCTCCACCATTCTATGGAGTACATATTGGCTTTGGCATTCCCTTTGTAACTCCTCGAAATATTTATAATAGATCATACAAAGTGTATATATTCTGGATCAGCGTAAAATTCTCGATTGATTTAGCATAGTCCGTCTGTTGAAATAGAGATACAGCTTGCGCCATTAGCTGCAGAGCTTTGGAATTTTACACAGACATTACTATTATAAGCATAATTTTCAGGTATTTGGTTTTCAGTGGGTTTAACTCGTTTCGAATTCATTCCTGACAATTCTTTAATATTTTGGAAGTTTCTCCAAACAGTGAAGGGTATTAAAAGTCGGTCCCGCAGAACTTTGCCGTTTTTATACCCTCCACCATTCTATGGAGGGTATATTAGCTTTGTCATTCCGTTTGAAACTCATCGAAATATTCATAATAGACCCTACAAAGTATATATATATATATATATATATATATATATATATATATATATATATATATATATATATATATATATATATATATATATATATATATATATATATATATATATATATATATATATATATATATATATATATATATGTATATATATATATATATATATATATATATATATATATATATATATATTCTGGATAAGCGTAAAATTCGAAGACGATCTAGCGATGTCTGTCTATCCGCCTGTTGCAATCACGCTATATTTTGAACGAATTGAGATAGAAGGCTAAAATTTTGTATACATGCATAGTTTACCAGTAGGCAGGTTAAGTTCGTAAATGGGTTATGGTTCGGCCCACGTTTTGTTATTGCCCACATATTACAATACCTCCCGATATTCGGTATTTTCCATGATTTTAGCGACATAATTTATCGGAATTATTTAAAAAAAAATATTAAAAAACAAAAATTCGTATGCAGGTCCACGTCTTCCTATAGGCCCCATATAATATGAAACGTAGATGAAATTGAACTGACATTTCTGGTACCTCTATTTCAAGTATACGTGACTACGACTGCTACACGCTACTTCTAGACTTCGTATACTGCTTTATGTAGAACCCGATAATATACAACATTATGGTGACTAACAAAAACCAAACATTTTCGTCTGTGTCCGATTCCATTATAAATATTCAATTCTCAAGGTGTTGACGTTCGTTTGAATATTTGACAGAGGTTTGTCATAAATTATTGAGTTTTATTCATCGCTTTGATTTACCTTGTCTTTATTTAATTGTATATGACCCCTGTACAAATTACTTTGTACATACTTTTGAGTGCGGTTGAGGCGCTGATAAAATCTAGCAATAAACAATAAATATTCTAAAATTAAATATTTCCCAGCCGCCATAAAATATCACATGTGAAGTATTCAGTGATCTTGTGCGCTGACGCATACGATAATGTGTGAGATAATAAAGGTTATGACCCACACGCACAGATATCGATGCGCTCAGTAGATGCACAAGACCACTTGAATGAGATGTCAAGCAGCCCTGCAATGTTCTCCATTCAGTATTAGAATAGATAAGAGCAATTGTGTGGCTGCGACTAGGTTAAGTTAGATTAGTTTCAGTAGTACGTAAGGAACATATTTTAGAAATAAAATTAGAATTGAATCAACAGCCAAACCGTTCGGTTGGTGTTCTCTTCTCATTCAACCCCCATTATGGAATTGGGTGTGAATCTCTATGTCCTTCCGTTTGAGTTGGGTTCCAACAATGTAATTCGAAATTTTATATTTCACTCCATATGGGCAGATATTTAGAGATATGATAGCAGGGCAATAAATATACACCTCCCTAAAGAGGGTCAAGATTTTAAATAACACCCCAAAATTGTAAAATTCAGTTTGCGACTTTCTTCTTACTCCGCAAATTGCATTTAGACAAAATTAGAGTAATAACATTGTCGCACAATTACATATTTTGCGATATTTACAGGAAAAATCCAGTAGATTATGAAAGCAGAGCTAGAAATAGGGGATAGAGAGCTATAAATAGAGAGATTGGTATTTTTAATGATCTCTTCGCAAAATAACGTAAGTAGAGGGGACAAGGACAAGTTCCCCCTTAATTCATTTCTTTTTTTAATTTTTTCCTTGGAGTCTGCGATTTTGATACCCTCCACCATAGTATGGAGGGTATATTAAGTTTGACATTCCATTTGTAACTCGAAATATGCATTTTAAAATTCTATGTCGATTTAGCGATGTCCGTCCGTCTATCCGTCTGCGGAAATCACTCTAGCTTCCGAACGAATCGAAGTAGATTGATAAAATTTTACTCAAATGTATATTATGTCTGCAGGACTTCTGATATTGCAACATGGGCCATGTAGGTTCACGTTTCCGTATAGCCCTCATATACCGATACCTCCAGATATTCGGTATTTCGAGGAATTGTTTCAAATTTGGTATTTGAAGTTCGTAAGGGATGCTACAGCCTAAGGCAGAAAATTGTCCGTGCAGGTCCACGACTTCGTATATTATTCATATAATATTACCTCCCGATATTCGATACTTTGTTGATTTTAGGGACATTATTCACCGGTATTCTTTCAAATTTGGTATTTGATGTTCACAATGGATACTACAGCCTATGACAGGGTCTCGTTTGTGCAGCTCCACGTCTTTGTATAGCCCCCCTATAACGTTACCTCGCCATATTCGGTATTTTGATGATTTTAGCTTCATTATTCATCGGAATTGTTTTAAATTTGGTATTTGAAGTTCGAAATGCATACTATAGCCTAACACAGAAAATTGTCTGTGCAAGTCCACGTCTTCGTATTGCCCCAATTTCGGTATTTTGATGACCGGAGTAGTAGTTTCAAATTACGTATTTAGAGTTCGTAATGAGAACTACAGTCAGTGACAGAAAATTGTCTATGCAGGTCCAGGTCATCGTATAGGCCCCATATAACAGTACCTCCCTATATTAGGGATTTTGACGAGTTTAGGTACAATACCCACCGAAATTGTTTGAGATGTCGTAGTTCGTAATGGATGCTACAGCCTGTGACAGAAAATTGTCTATGCTGGCCCAGGTCTTCGCACAGCGCCGATATAACGGTACCTCCCTCTATACGATATTTTGATGATTTTAGCTACATTATTCACCGTTTATTTCAAGTTTCATATTTAAATATGGTAATGGCTTATGACAAACAATGCCTATGTGGGTCCACGTCGTATAGACCCCAATATAACGGCTAAATTTTAACAGAATTTTTTAAGGATTTAATTTTTTGAAAATTTCCAAATTCGTTCCAAATGGTGGATAGTATACAAAAATCCGCGCGGCCGAACTTACTGCTTTTAATTTTTTTTTAAATTTTCGGAATCATATTCATTGGAGTCTGTTAATTTTAGATATGTATTGTCTTCAGGAATATTATTCATAACTGTACGAAGACTTATTTTGTCGACAATTTTAGTCTAGTCCCAAATGCGGTCTTTATGATCCATATGTTTCAAAATTGGTTAAAATTCGTTTCCCTTCCAACAAGATATTCCACCAAATTATATGTCATATATTTCTATTTTAGGTCCCAGATCACCATAAAAGTCTAAACCTTACATAAACACCTGGAAGCCACATTGTAAAGTCAAAGCCGTACTTCATGTGAGTTTATTCAAATTCTCCAGTTCTAATTTTATAAGGATGACATCAAAGATAAAAATATTCCTTACCAAATTTCACTATGAGTCACCAAGGAAAAAAAAATCTCTATAACCTATATTAAAAACACCATTTAAATCTTTTTTTTTTTTTTTTTTTTTTTTTTTTTAAAGGTCTATTAATCTGAGCCAGTAGATCAAAATCAGTCTACACATTTGTGTGCTTCCGAAAAAGAAAAATAAAACAAAACTCAACTATTATCAATTTGTGTTCACTGCTCGCTATCGCACTCTTCTCTTTCCGGAGATAATGAAATTCAACAAACAACACTCCATAAATAAGAGAGAGACTTGTTATTTCTTTCTGATGTTAGTATTCCGTATCTCAGTCCAGTGTCAAGCGTCAAAGTGTTCACATCGTAATGGTTCAATTGTAAGTACCGGCGCACATAATAACATTCACTCTAGCAATAAAAACAACAATAATAAATTCCAATTTGTTAAGGGTTGAGTATCCCGAGATAAAATTACCTGTGGGTCAGTTAAAGGGCACCACCCGAACGACAATTTATGACGATAACTACTACAGTTTTGAGGGTATACCATATGGTAAGCCACCGGTGGGCGAGCTGAGATTTAAGGCACCCCTACCCGCCGAACCATGGACGGGGGTTAAAAATTGTACAGATTTTAATATTAAACCCATACAGAAGAATCCCCTAACTGGCATTGTTGAGGGCTCTGAGGATTGTCTGTATCTGAATGTGTATGCGAAAACGGTAAGCGATTCAAGAGTTAGAAAGTATGTGTGCAATTTTATGTGCCTCTTATGATTGCCTTGCAGCTGAATTCCCCCAAACCCTTGCCTGTATTAGTTTGGATATATGGTGGCAGTTTTCTATTCGGAGAAGCCACTCGTCACATGTACAGCCCTGATTATTTCATGAGCGAAGACGTGGTGGTGGTGACTCTAAATTATCGCCTCTGTTCATTGGGTAAATAATACGCTGCACTATCTATCTATATTTATATGGCGATTACAAATTTTTGCAAGTAATTGTTTTCTTTGCTGTTGTTTTCAGGTTTTCTAAGTGTTGAAGATCCCTCGGTAGATGTGCCCGGCAATGCTGGTATCAAAGATCAAGTTTTGGCCCTAAAATGGGTTAAGCAATACATTCAGCACTTCAATGGTGATCCGGAAAATATAACCGTGTTTGGTGACAGTGCCGGTGGGGCCTCTACACATTTCCTAACAGCCACCGAACAGACCAGGGGGTTGTTCCACAAAGCCATTTGCATGTCGGGAACAATGTTTAATGGTTGGTCCATAACACCACCCAAGGATTATGCCTATCGCCTGGCCAAACAGCATGGTTACCAGGGTGCAAATAAGGATGTCGAGGTTATTAAATACCTGCGTTCTCTTAAGCCAGACCAACTGGTTTGCCATGATGTTCTCAATGACGAGGACAAGCGGAATGGCGTTTCCTTCAGCTTCGGGCCATGTATTGAGCCATATGTCTCAGAGAGCTGTGTTGTGCCAGAACATCCTCGCAATATGATGGCATCGGCTTGGACCAATACCATACCAATTATGTTCGGGGGCACTTCTGATGAGGGTCTACTCATCTATCCGAAATATAAAATGTTCCCCAAAATGTTACAGGCCTACCAAATGGATCCGGAGCGTCTGTTGCCCCATGAAGTGAAAGTGAAGAATGACAGGGCGAAAAATCTGGAATTGGCTAAAAAATTGTCAGAAAATCATTTTGGTGATAAGCATCCGCATGAATCGGATCTAAGCAAAGTTATTTATGTGAGTATGTAGTTGTATCCTACGTCCCTCTATGGTACAGGGTATTATGTCTTTGTTCATTGGTTTGTGGAAACGAAATAGACCCATTCGTTTTGATTATCTTCATAGAATCACATTCTGAGTCGATTTATGCATGTCCGTACATACATCCGTCTGACCACATATTTTTGTAATCAAAGTACAGGTCGCATTTATTGTCTGATTGTGATGAGATTTTCCAAATCATTTGTTTGGCCTAAGGACGACCGCTATTGAAATTGGTGGTAATCGGCTAAGATTTGGATATAGCTACCATATGTAGTGTCGTCCGACTTTATTAGTATTGTGCACCAAATGCATAATATCAGTCCGAATCAAATGAATTTTGTCCACTTGGCCAGGTTCAGGTTCCTGAAGTATGGCTAGCGATTTTGGTGAATATCGGAGCACATTTAGATATAGCTCCCATACACATTTTCGGCAGATTGGGGTTTAAGTCCCTCACATTCGTAATATGCACTCCACAACAATAATATTTGAAACCAGATATTAGAAATACCCCAGAAGTACATTTTTCAAATTAAATCAAGATCGGTTCAGATTTAGATACAGCTCCCATATATATCTTTATTAGATTTAAGGTTTATTGTGCTCCCAATGGTTGATATCAACCCAAATAGACCTGATTTTTGCACTTTCAGCCTAGAAGGAAATACTCAAAAGTTGGGGAAAATCGGTTATTATATCTCTATAGCTCCCATATATATCTTTCATCGGATTTTATGTTTTAGTCTCTCACATTCATTCCTCCATAATGATATTTGGTACTAGATATCAGATGCAGGTCATTAATACCTCTGCCAAATCAGCTCAGATTTGGATTATTTTGCAGCCCCCATCAACAATATATCCAGTAGGAGAAAATCATTCAGCGACATAGGTCAGATTTTATCCACTGAAAAAAGGATTAATTTTTACCCGTCCCTATATATTTCCATCGCATAATTGTGTTTTGAATGTTCTCATCGCATTTCTTAAGGGAATTGATTGTAATTTGAAATTTTAAGTTCTAAGTAGTGGTTTCACCTCTGTACATTACCTCGCATGTTAATATAACCCCAAATATCGTCAGATTTTAATTATCTTTCATTCTCTCTCTCTCTCTCTCTCTTCAGTATTCGGGTATAAAAATGTTTTGGCATGGTGTTCATCGGTCCGTTTTGGCACGCCTCAAATACGCCTCCGGCCCCACCTATTTGTATCGCTTTGGCTTCGATTCGCCCACCTTCAATCATCATCGTAAGAGATTCTGCGGCAATGATATTAAGACTGGTGTTGCCCATGCCGATGATATTTCTTATCTCTGGTATGCCTTCTATTCCTGGAAATTGCAAAAGAATTCCAAAGAATATCAGACTCTGCAAAAAATGGTAAAGATTTTTGTAGACTTTGCAAAGGCATCGGTTTTGGATGAATTTGAGCTGACTGGTTTGGTAAATGAGGCAAAATCGATTAAATGGAAGCCCGTACAAGCCGATGATCCATTTATGGCTTTAAATATTAACAACAATGTGGAATTTGCAGTTATCCCCGAGAAGAAAGATCTCTTGGTGTGGGATACGATCTATGAACCCGATCAACTCTGTTGAAGATGGACAGCACCAGCATAGTGGTGCACAAAACATTAATAATTAATTTGTCAGTTTAAATGGATTATTTGTATATGCATTAGAAATGGTTTTTATCAATAGAAATTAAATTAAAATAAATAAATTAAAATGCTAATTACCAAATTTGATGGGTAAATAAATAGGTAAATGGGTATTTGGATAATGTGAGAATTTTAATTATGATGCAATGGATTTAAAATGCACATATTGAAAGTGGGATCTTTAGTGGCCATGAATGAGGGAATAGAATTTTAAAATTAATTTTATTAAATTATTCTCTTATACGGATTTACTAATTTCACCTCAACAAAAACACGGTGCATCGAAGCTTTTAATTTGTCCAAAAAATCGGCGAATCGAAATAAATGGAAACAGCAAATGGCATGTCAACAAAATATTATCCGTTTTTTTTTTTTTTTTTTTTTTTTTGTTTTGTTTAAAAATTTCATGCCAGTCAAATAAAGATTTTCAGCGTGTTAAGAAATTGTCAAAGCAAATAATGAGTTCGTGAGTCTCGCATCAACTTAAGGAACTTGAAAAAAATTAATTAAATATTTTTTTTTTTAAGTTTACAATATCAGGATCTCACCCTACCGGTTGGACAAATTCGTGGAGCCCTTAGATCGACAATATACAATGACATATACTACAGTTTTGAGGGTATACCATATGGTCAGCCCCCTTTGGGTGAATTGCGTTTCAGGACTCCTCTCCCCGCCGAACCATGGAAAGGGGTCAAAAATTGTACGGAGTTTAAAGTAAAGCCAGTGCAGAAGAATAAGCTTTCCGGGAAGGCGGAGGGTTCTGAAGATTGCCTCTACTTGAATGTGTACACAAAAATGGTGAGACATCAATTGCGACTTTAAAAGTTTGAAATTCTGACGGAATTTTTTTCAAAAAAAAAAAAAAAAAAAAACCAAACTTATTTTCCGGCAAAGAAATGGTGCAATTTTCTGACAAAAATTTAAGATTGTGTGAGACTTTAGTTAAATAATACTCCACTAATATCCACTTTACATATGGGACCAAATCTGCCCCACTTAAATAATGTGATAATTTCAAAGGTAAGAATAGTAGCAGTATTTGTTTCCGATATTAAAGAAAAGTTCCTAAGAAAATTATATCAAGGTAATTAAAAGTCTACGTTGACGTAGAGATGCTCCATTTTTTGTCGGGGGAAGGATCTCAGGTATTGATGCAATATCGGCGAATTGATAGGATATATGTTCATTTATGCATTACTAAGTATGATGGGATGTCAGAAAGGGGGGTTTCAAAGGTCCACACTGGTGTAGTCTAACTTATGGCAGACCATGATTTTATATAGTAATCAGGTCTTTCGGGCTTGTAGAGGTCAGAGTCTTCGACAGCAATACCAGAACTTATCTTGCATTAGAACCAAAATTGGAATTTTTTGCTTCAAGGGGCTTGAGATAAAAAAACGGCTAATTTTAAGGCAACAGAAAAAATTAGTTCTTAACGAGATTATTTGCAGAGGGTTATTAACACTCTAAGATAACGTGGAAAAAGGGAAAAAAGAGCTGGGGACACTTTGCGAAGCCAAGAAAGACGGAGAAGAGGATCTGCGATTTTCCGTCGGTTCAATTGAATTTTCAACTGATTATTTTCTAGAGGCCCAAGAATTACGAACACTTGAAATAATCCAATAAGACAGGGGATTGAGGAAGCATGGTTGCTGTAAGGGTTACGATAGGTTGCGATCCATGAGATTTAAAATTAACAGAGAGATTCAAAAATGGACAGAGAAGTCCATTATAATTACACTATGCGACAAAATTCATTATTTTCTATAAGTTCACAAAAAATTCTGTAGATTATAATGGGCCGGAGTTTTGAAAGTTTACATCTCGAATTGACTTAGATTGAGGGGACAAGTTCCCCCTTCCACAACATTTTCGAAATTTTCGTATTAAGATGCCTTGGAATCCGTGCACTTTAGGAATATAGGGTCTTCGACAATATTACTGATACAATATTAGAATATGTATTTTTAAAAAACCATAAAATGAGCCACCAAAGAGGCAATTTTGATCTTTTATTTCAGGATAGGTTTCCAATTAACGGTCCCAAAATACAATAAAAGTCTAAATAAAAGAATGGAAAAGAGAGGGTTAAGAGTTAAAACTTTATGTGAGTTTATATAAATTTCATTTTTAGAAGGATGACTTCAACGACAAAAATATTAAATTTCAGTATAAGTCACCAAAGAAAAGATAAATGGACCAAAGAGATTCATTGGTGACTTGCTAGAAGTTTAAACTATTCGATTAAAATAATCCACGTGTTGTTATCAGACCTCCGAAAAACTCACTCGAATTTGAAGAGAGAGTGAAATTCTCTCAAATTCGAGCGAGAGCGCTCCTGAGAGGAGAAGAAATAGGACAAATATCATTTTTCGATGTCGCACGAATAGGAGTGAGCATGCCACAAAAGGAAAGAGTGAAAAAGAAAAAAAGTCTAGAAGTCGTAAAAAACTCCCTCTCTTCGAACTATCCAATCGCTCTCGGGTAAAAACTAGTAAATCTGTGCCATGGTTGTTATGACGCACGAATTCCAAGAAATATTAATCGAAAATTTAAAAATATGTTGAAAAGTGCGCAGCTTGCTTCCTCTAGTCAGGTTGCTTTATAAAGTTTGAAAATCTCGATACACTTGTCTTCTAGTCTAAGCTATAATTTCGTAATCTGCTGAATTTTCCATAATCCCAGTTAATTTTGTTAATTAATTTCATTATTTCCAGTTAATTTCGGTAATGCTTCTACCAGTCATGGTTTATATTTTTGGTGGTGGATTCAGCAATAACGCAGCAAACAGGAGTCTTTATAGTCCGGATTATTTCATGCAAAAAGATGTCGTTGTTGTGACCCTTAATTACCGTCTTGACTCCTTAGGTAAACAAAATTAAAAAGCTTTCATGAATATACAAAAAAAATGCTGGGTAAGATACAAGCCAGAGAATATGAACCGAACAATCTTGAAAAAAAAAATATTCTAACAAAACTTTCCGAAAATTTAGTTTTTCTCCATCTTTAACTTTACAAAATAAAAAAAACTAGTTTTTTTATATTTCCAAGGCTTCCTTAGTATCAAAGATCCCAAATTGAAAATTCCCGGCAATGCTGTACTAAAAGATCAAATACTAGCCCTCAAATGGATCAAAAAATACATACGCCATTTCAATGGAGACCCAGATAATATAACTCTGTTCGGCAATAGTGTTGGTGGAGCTTCGGTACATTATCTAACAGCAACAAATCAAACAATTTGTATGTCGGGCACAATGTTGAATTCCCGGGCAAGTACACCACCCCGAGATTATGCCTTTCGTTTGGCCCAACAACATGGTTATGGGGGAGGAGACAACGACGAGGAGGTTGTCAAGTATTTACAGTCCCTAGATGCCGAGCAGGTGGTGATGCATGATTTGCTGACGGAAGAAGATCATCGAAATGGTATACGATTGACATTTGCACCTGTTGTGGAACCCTATACGAGTGAGGATACTGTCGTACCCACCGAACAGCATACGATGTTAAGAAGTGCTTGGGGAAATCATATTCCCATCATGTTTAGCGGTGTTAAGGATGAAGGTTTACTTTTGTATTCCCAGTTGAAAAATTTTACAGAAATTGTGGAGACATTCCGTCGGGATCCTGTTACAATATTACCTTATTTGGTTAAACAGAACTGTGATGAAGAAGAGTGTCTGATGTTGGCAGAGAGGTTATTTAATTTTTATTTTGGCAATAAAAATGCCAGCCTCGCAGATGTCATTCATGTAAGTAGTAATTAAAAAATACTATTTTAAAAATAAGAATTGAAAAATAGGAGCATGTTTATAACCGATAGATTAAAATACCGGTCTGATTTTATCAATTGTGAAAAAAGCTAAATTAAACTAATTTAATTATTTTATTTAAATTACAGTATAGTTATGACTCCTATTTCTTAATGAACCTTTCTTAAAAATCCTTAATTAAATTATATTTACTTTAATATATATTTTTATTTTATATTTTTGTAATTTTTATCTATATATATAAATGAAAGTTGTGTTAGTTACTACGCTTATAACTTAAGAACCGCTGAACTGATTTTAATGATTCATACAAATTCTGAGTTGTCTCTTATCCGAAAAGGATAATATCCAAAAAAATCGCGTAAAAATGTTATATGTTAAGATTTTCATTTTGACTTTTGAAATGTACAATAGTAATGTTTTATTTTGCATGATTTTTTTCCATTTTGACTTACTTTTTTTCTAATGTACATTTGTAGTGTTTTTTATATTTTATTTTTGAATTCGAATACTAATACCAATTTATTTAATTGACTTGATATCTTGAGAACTGAAATTGATGGCGGGTTACATGGAAGTGTAGTACCGAATTATGCGGTGGCGAAACGGAATAGATGATATCGAAATAATTTAATGCGGTCACACCAAAGTTAAAAGAAAATTACTTTTTCAAAATCGCTAAAAAATCACGAAAAAGAGTTCTCATTGCAAAAATTCTCAAATCGGGAAAAAATCGAAAAAATAATAGTACATTCCAGTGACAAACTTTGTAAGGATCTTTAAACATTTGCTGTAAAAAATCAGCGAACAAGTTGAAGATTTTTTCAAATTGTTATTCTTCTTTTGTCAATTTTTTTTTTCAATTTGTATTACCATATTGAATTCAGTGAATTTTTTGTGAACAAAATAATGAATAATTTTTCACTATATACAATTTTTCAACAAAAAAATGAAATAAGTGCGAAATACGATGGTAACTGACATCTACCTTTCAACTCCAGGGCCTACATCGTGCTTCAGCTGGAAGATGCGCAAACATTTAAACAAACAAAAATGACCGAAAAAGACTAATGGAGCTTATTTCAAAGCGTGGCCCTACTTCTTTCATGTGACAATAATCCGTCCAATGAGAGCTCAAAATGCAAAAATTTTTGGGAGTACAATCAGTAAAATACCAAATATAAAGGGTGCAAAATAGTAGAGCGAATGGGACTTTTAGTAAGAATAGGATTTCTATTCTTCCAAAAATTCTTCCTGAACATTTAAGATACCTTAAATCGCTTTTGCAGGTCATGATATCGATCATAAATAACCATCGTATGATTTAAGCCATTTTTTAGTCTTCGCCACTTTCTTCTATTTTTGGCCCTTATTTGGCATCTTTGTTTCTAAGGGGGTAGAGAACCTCTTCGCATAAGATTTTCGGAGTAGGGCCCATATTGGTCTTGACCACTAAAAAATTGTATTTATGCTACCCTGGGGTAAAGAACCATCGTACAGATAATTGCCACATATAAGTTTATTCATGTAAAGTCCCCACATTGGAGTATCCCCAAGTCCATTTTCACATCTAATGTGTGGTCAGAAAAGAAAAATTTGTATTCTATTGAATTTGTAACCCTTAAGAGAATATTGGTTGGGAACGTAGATTTGGGATATACATCTATATGAAATAAATTGTGAAAACATGAACAAATTACAAATGTAAGAAAGTAGCACGGGACCGAATATTTGTTAAATCGTCATTGAATTATACTATGATGAAAAATATGGACTTTATGGGGTCTCCAATTTACAATTTAAATGACAAATAAAATTTGTTCCCATATTACTGTAATGGGTGTAAAATAGTAATTATATTTGACTATTCTGAAATCAGTCTGACCTCAATTATGAGGTCATGCTATGTTGTTCTGCTATATTTTCGATTTGGTCTCTATTTGTCATCTTGGATTATAAGGGGTGAAGAAAGTTTTCAATGTAGGTCGATGTTTCGCTTTTTACCATATTTTAAAGGATTTAGCTAAAAATGTGTTTTTGAGGGTGAAAATCTTACACAAAAATTTCAACATATCTATAAATATTAGAATTTTCTCCATGTAATAGTACCCCATCAAGTCCACCTTTTGGCGGACAAACAGACCGACATGGTTAGGGGGACTTATGAGGATTCTTATGCACAATCTGTGGTTCTAATGGGTTTAAAAAAGTAATAAACTTTGCCTATTCTTAAATCATAGCCCTCAATTATGAGTTGTACAAAGTACAGTAAATTCCAAATTACTGCTCATTTGACTAAAAATTAAAAACTAATCGACGAGTACGTGAACATTTATAACATTCATATCATTGAATAATTATGCTTTGACAAATATTCATAATAGAAAAAACTACGGGCCGGCAACGCGGACCGGGCCAGCTAGTAATATATATTCTTAAATTAATATAATCTTAATATCATTTGAAATTTTCCAGTATTACGGCATACGAGATTTCTGGCACGGCTTGCATCGTTCCCTTCTCTCACGTCTGTCCTATGCAACGGCACCAACATATCTCTATCGCTTTGCCTTTGATTCGCCCACATTTAATCATTATCGCAAAAAACAAACAAATGGTGAAATTCTGACTGGTGTTGCCCATGCCGATGATTTATCCTATATATGGTATGGTGACCACTCTTGGAAATTGGATAAATGTTCACCAGAATACAAAACCATAGAACGAATGGTGAATCTTTTTATAGATTTTGCATCGAATCGAGATTATAATTATCAGTTTGTTTATGATGATGAATGTAAACGTTACCCGTTTATTTGGTGGCCCTTGAAGAGCACAGATCCCTATCTAGCCCTTAATATAGGAGAAACAATGCAAATCATAGAGATACCGGAGAAGAAGGATCTACAAATATGGGATTCTATGTACGTCCACGTGAAGGATCAATTATATTAAAGTGATTTAAAATATAAATTTGTTAAGAATACTATATATTTTCAAAAATATCCTTTCCCTTGTTAAATATAAATATGCGATATTGAATAAAATAACTAATTTTTAAATTAATCAAAATCCAGCAATTATATTTATAGAATTCATGTTCGATTTTATAACTAAGATACAATATATGTAACCCCTTTCTTTTCAAATGATCTTCAATATATCTACTATTTACACTCAAGGCGTGACAATTTATTAAAAATATCTTTTCAAAATAGTGCAATGTGAAAATGTTTATTATCACCAAAATAAACAAAACACAGTTGTCTTGGAAGAGATTTTAAATGCGATAACAAAATTTAACAGTCATTGTTGCTAAACACAATTAGATTTTATTGTTAATAATAAATATCATGTTAAGAGTAGTTGACATAAACTAAAGAGAAAGAGAATGTACATTGTTTATGTTACTCTCTTAATAATTCTTTGTTTTGTATTATTCTCTCATCTTATACCTCATGGAGACTTATAATAGAAAGATGTGCAAACATCACACATTTCACTAATAATTAGATACACATTATTAAAAATGTTTAAGCTTGATAATTATTTTTACAAATTACACTAATAAGGTTTAACTGGAGAGAAATATGTGTGAATGGCGAGTTAAAATTCATTTAAACATTTGTGTGAAAAAGAGAAAGTCTATTGTACAAGAGCTTCCTTCATCATTTTAGTACTTTAGAAAAAGAAAAGATCTTCGAGTTCATAAGCCAAGGTTGATACATCAGTTTCTAAATTCAGAATATTTTATTGATTGAATCCAAATCTACGGGAAATTAAAACCCAACAAGTAAAATAAAAATGCTGCATATGATATCTACTAATGTAGTACAGTTTAAATTTGAAACCGTAAGGACTGTTTCCATAATGCAATGAAATGACTTCTTTCGTTTCCAACTTGATAGAAGTATATTTAAAATTTCTGTAGCTGTCTGTTTCTGAATGGTGACAACAATTGAAAACTCGAAACAAAAAAGAAACATATTCCATAGAAATGGATTATTATAAGAAATTTTATTTTAATGTTAACTTCAGTTGTCGAGAGTTAAGAGAGTAATAAAACCTCGAATTTTTCCAAAGAAGTTCAGCAAAATAAGCATACGATGTTAAGGAATATATGGGGAAACAATATTCCCATCATTGGATTATTATAAAAAATTTTATTTTAATGTCAACTTCACTTGTCGAATGATATAAAAACCTCGAATTTTTCTAAAGAAGTTCAGCAAAATAAGCAAAACTACAATATGTTTGTTCGTTCTCACACATTTTTAGTGCTGAAAAAAATCACTCTTAATTTAGTAGAATATTATTGATAGTCAGAAAAGATCTGTGAATTTAGAGAATAACGATTTGTAACAACTTAAAGTTGCTATTTTTGTTTAGTATTCCTTTTCAGTTGTCATGGAAAAACTGACTGTATTTCTAGAAAGTTTAAGAGGGATATTTCAAGGAAGTGTGCCTTGTTCTTGTTTTCCATCAGACGATAATGAAATGCAACCACATGGGTTTAGTCAGGAATTAAGCATGTGGAAAAATTTTCACTTAAGTCTATTTAAGGTCAGTGGAATTTCTGGTACTAAAAATGGGTTCAATATATGTTATAGAGCCAATATAGTGGCCGAATTAGGTTATTGTTTGAGTTTTTGTCATTCTTTTAACCGATCTCACTGTAAATCGTCTGTTTGTGGTTCCAACGAACTGTTCATATAGGTCCAAATTGTGGTATGGACCCCATATAACGGTACATCCAGACATTCGCTATTTGGGCAATAGGTACTAATTACCTTGATAGATTTTTGTTCACGTAGCACATTCATATGGTCCCCATTAAAGGCTATCCTCGCTATTCGGTGCTTGGACAATTTTAGACACTATTTAGCGGAATCGTAATAATCTCACCTTCTATGCCAGATATTTATCTATGTAGGTCCACGTTTTCGTCTATACGTCACTTTGCTAATATCTGGTATTTTGATGATTTTAACCACATTGTTGTTTTTTTTATTATTTTAAAGGGACCTAGGTATACTTCATTTGCAATTTTCAATAAAACTACAGACGAACCATATAAACCCTTGTTTTTCAATGTCAGTCATTATTATTTAGGAGTAAACTTTATTTCAATTACAAGTTTCACTTTTACAACGGAAAGGGCAAAATTGATTTAGTTGCTGGAATAATAAAATCTGGGTTTTTTGGTCCATTTTTCATAAATTTTCAAACTTTGGATCAATACCAACTAACCCGACTCAATATACTAATTACATACTATATTTCATTTTGTCGGTGGTGTGTTACCTCTTCTAGTTACAAGTCTCCTTTCGTGTTGTCCACAACAAAAGTTAATGGCTAGCTGACACACCGCACTAGTTCTAATATTTTCATTCTCATGCAAAGTAGCCGATAACTTATACAATCACTAACTAAAAACCGGTAAAGCAGATTAGTAATACTTCTGATAAGTTTAATATTAAAAAAAATAATCATCGGAATTATTATTTCTATTACATTTTATAACTTAATACAATTTTCTGGGTTAAGACAACAAAAGCTGAAAACCTGATTTCACAAAATGACAAATAACAATTTCTCTCAGAAATGTTCTTGAGAAATTGTGTCATACGCTCTCTTAAATTAAGAGAATTGTCTTCAACAAAATACAACAACGTGCAAGTGTTCGAAATAAATTCAGTAGGGTTTCGGGCTGCGTTTCGATCAGAACGTAGGTTTATGGGCACCATGGACAGCGGGTAAGTTTTGTTTCTATTAATTATTTGTTTAATTAATTCATTTCAAATCATCCCTTATTTTCTGAACAGGGAAGAAAATCCAATTGTAAAAATTGCACAAGGTCTGGTGCGTGGCACGAAAAGCAAAACCATTTACGATGACGACTATTATAGCTTTGAGGGAATACCATATGGCCAGCCACCCTTAGGAGAGTTGCGTTTTAAGGCACCACTACCGGCCCATGGATGGGATGGGGTCAAAGATTGTTACGAATTCACGGGTAAACCACTTCAAAAGAACTACCAAGGTGAAATTGAAGGCACCGAAGATTGTCTGTACTTGAATGTCTATGTCAAAAGGGTGAGTGGAACAGTCAAGTGTTGGACAAAGTGTGAAAGCTAACACAGGTGTGCATATTTACAGCTCAATGGTAATGGAAACCTCCCCGTCTTAGTGTGGATTTATGGTGGTGCCTTTAACACGGGTAGCTGTATAAAACCAAAATATGGACCCGACTACTTTATGCAGGAGGATGTTATTTTGGTTACCTTTAATTATCGAGTTTCAGCATTGGGTTTTCTTAGCTTTAAGGATCCGTCCCTTAATGTTCCCGGTAATGCTGGCCTCAAAGATCAGGTGTTGGCTCTCAAATGGGTAAAACAAAACATTGGCCAATTTGGTGGTGATCATGAGAATATAACACTTTTTGGCGAAAGTGCTGGTGCTGCTTCGGTTCATTTTATGATGTGCACCGACCAAACCAAGGGACTTTTTCACAAGGCCATTTGTATGTCTGGCTGTATTCTGAATAATTGGGCCCTTACCAAGGATACGACCGATTTGCCCTATCGCCTGGCATGTGAATTGGGCTATGAGGGTACAGACAATGATCGTGAGGTCTTGGAATATTTACAAAAATGCCCTGCCAATGAATTGCTGCATATGAAAAAATTGAATGAAGAAGTCATATTAAAAGGAGGCTTCTTTGTTTTCGTACCTTCAATGGAGCCCTATGATAATCCAGAGGCTGTCGTTCGAAAACCTCTATTGGAAAGTATGAAGACATCTTGGGGAAATTCCATACCTTTAATAATTGGCGGTACCTCATTTGAGGGGCTCGTCAGATATCCCCAAGTAAAACATAAACCGGAACTATTGGAGTTGTGTAAAACTGAGCCCCAAGTTTTGCTACCAACAGAGTTGTTGGTTGGAAAGACAGAAGAAGAGATCCAATCACTGGCAAAAGTGTTATATGATCTCTATTTTCAAGGAAAGGAAGATGATGAGAAACAATTTCTCATGGGTTATTTGGATGTAAGTTGTGTGAACTTTATCCAATTGACATTGTATGTGCTAATTACCATTTTCATTTTTTACAGCACTCCTCATTCTATTCGATTTGGCATGATTTGCATCGTGTCACCAGATCTCGCAAGGAACTAGCCACCGCTCCCACCTATCAATATCTGTTTGATTTTGATTCTCCGACATTTAATCATCACCGTAAGATGTTTTGTGGCACCGACATAGAAAAAGGTGTTGCTCATGCCGATGATTTAGCCTATTTATTCTACTCTTTCTATTCCTGGAAATTGGAAAAGGAATCCCAAGAATATTTAACACTTCGCCGAATGATTGAATTATGGGTCCAATTTGCGAAGATATCTAATCCCAATTGCCAGTATACCAAGGATTCCGAATGGAAAACCATATCTCAAAGTGATCTCAATCAGTGGTTGAGGATTTCAAATGACGTGCGCTTCGAGGAAATTTTCAAGGAATTTCAACATAAACTAGATGTATGGAATAGTTTGTATGGTAATGATTTATTGTAGTTGGTTTTGAAATAGTGAAATAGCCATTGTGATCTTAAGGACCAATAAGAAAATGGAGAAATAAAGATTTACAAAATCTTACATCTGGATTGAAATATTTAAATTTACTCTACAAATGAAGAAAAATTGAACAGTATTGGCTCAGCACTGAGAAGTGTTTAAAAAAATGTTCAATTCTTGAATGGATCCCAGCTTTTGATAAATATTTTGGATTATATTACGATTTAACTATAGAGATTAAATTTGAATCAGTCCGTTGTCTGCATCTTGCAAGTAATATGCCTTAGGATTTTACATATGAACGACCTTCTACGGATAAATAATACAAGTTTAGCATTTTTTATAAATATTTTTTATCGTTATTATTATTAAATTAACTAGCTGGCCCGGTCCGCGTTGCCGGCCCGTAGTTTTTTCTATTATGAATATTTGTCAAAGCATAATTATTCAATGATATGAATGTTATAAATGTTCACGTACTCGTCGATTAGTTTTTAATTTTTAGTCAAATGAGCAGTAATTTGGAATTTACTGTACTTTGTACAACTCATAATTGAGGGCTATGATTTAAGAATAGGCAAAGTTTATTACTTTTTTAAACCCATTAGAACCACAGATTGTGCATAAGAATCCTCATAAGTCCCCCTAACCATGTCGGTCTGTTTGTCCGCCAAAAGGTGGACTTGATGGGGTACTATTACATGGAGAAAATTCTAATATTTATAGATATGTTGAAATTTTTGTGTAAGATTTTCACCCTCAAAAACACATTTTTAGCTAAATCCTTTAAAATATGGTAAAAAGCGAAACATCGACCTACATTGAAAACTTTCTTCACCCCTTATAATCCAAGATGACAAATAGAGACCAAATCGAAAATATAGCAGAACAACATAGCATGACCTCATAATTGAGGTCAGACTGATTTCAGAATAGTCAAATATAATTACTATTTTACACCCATTACAGTAATATGGGAACAAATTTTATTTGTCATTTAAATTGTAAATTGGAGACCCCATAAAGTCCATATTTTTCATCATAGTATAATTCAATGACGATTTAACAAATATTCGGTCCCGTGCTACTTTCTTACATTTGTAATTTGTTCATGTTTTCACAATTTATTTCATATAGATGTATATCCCAAATCTACGTTCCCAACCAATATTCTCTTAAGGGTTACAAATTCAATAGAATACAAATTTTTCTTTTCTGACCACACATTAGATGTGAAAATGGACTTGGGGATACTCCAATGTGGGGACTTTACATGAATAAACTTATATGTGGCAATTATCTGTACGATGGTTCTTTACCCCAGGGTAGCATAAATACAATTTTTTAGTGGTCAAGACCAATATGGGCCCTACTCCGAAAATCTTATGCGAAGAGGTTCTCTACCCCCTTAGAAACAAAGATGCCAAATAAGGGCCAAAAATAGAAGAAAGTGGCGAAGACTAAAAAATGGCTTAAATCATACGATGGTTATTTATGATCGATATCATGACCTGCAAAAGCGATTTAAGGTATCTTAAATGTTCAGGAAGAATTTTTGGAAGAATAGAAATCCTATTCTTACTAAAAGTCCCATTCGCTCTACTATTTTGCACCCTTTATATTTGGTATTTTACTGATTGTACTCCCAAAAATTTTTGCATTTTGAGCTCTCATTGGACGGATTATTGTCACATGAAAGAAGTAGGGCCACGCTTTGAAATAAGCTCCATTAGTCTTTTTCGGTCATTTTTGTTTGTTTAAATGTTTGCGCATCTTCCAGCTGAAGCACGATGTAGGCCCTGGAGTTGAAAGGTAGATGTCAGTTACCATCGTATTTCGCACTTATTTCATTTTTTTGTTGAAAAATTGTATATAGTGAAAAATTATTCATTATTTTGTTCACAAAAAATTCACTGAATTCAATATGGTAATACAAATTGAAAAAAAAAATTGACAAAAGAAGAATAACAATTTGAAAAAATCTTCAACTTGTTCGCTGATTTTTTACAGCAAATGTTTAAAGATCCTTACAAAGTTTGTCACTGGAATGTACTATTATTTTTTCGATTTTTTCCCGATTTGAGAATTTTTGCAATGAGAACTCTTTTTCGTGATTTTTTAGCGATTTTGAAAAAGTAATTTTCTTTTAACTTTGGTGTGACCGCATTAAATTATTTCGATATCATCTATTCCGTTTCGCCACCGCATAATTCGGTACTACACTTCCATGTAACCCGCCATCAATTTCAGTTCTCAAGATATCAAGTCAATTAAATAAATTGGTATTAGTATTCGAATTCAAAAATAAAATATAAAAAACACTACAAATGTACATTAGAAAAAAAGTAAGTCAAAATGGAAAAAAATCATGCAAAATAAAACATTACTATTGTACATTTCAAAAGTCAAAATGAAAATCTTAACATATAACATTTTTACGCGATTTTTTTGGATATTATCCTTTTCGGATAAGAGACAACTCAGAATTTGTATGAATCATTAAAATCAGTTCAGCGGTTCTTAAGTTATAAGCGTAGTAACTAACACAACTTTCATTTATATATATAGATTATTACTATTTTTGTTATTTTTATATAAAATTATTATTTTTATTATTTTAAAGGCCACCAGATTTAATTTCCATAAATTAAATTTCATCAACATACTGTTTACCCCCTGTAAGTTAATGTCGACTAGTGTAATTAAAACCGCGTAACTGATAATTGTTTCATGTTCATATGCCCACAATGGGTTTACTTTTCCGTGAACACCCCTCCCTCAGTGGTCATTGTCAATACAAACAAAACCGGCACTTGATATTGAAAAGAAAGCAACTAAAAATAAATCATTAAACGAATGGTCGATAAAAAACTGTCGCAGAGCAAAACAAAACGAAAAAATCGCAAATAACAAAAACACTATAAAAATATGCAAATACTACAAACTTGTCCATGTTCATGTGCCAAAACAATTCCAGAAACGCGAGTCGCAAGTCACAAGTCAACAAAATAAATCGAAATTTGAAATCGAAATTTCCCTATTTATTAGCCAAATGTAAAGATGATCGAATCCATATTGACGTATATGGTTTAGGGGCCTCATTATGTATTCCTCAAAGTGTTTGGCGAATTGTTGGCGCTATTTGGCAAGCTCAAGTGGCTGAAGTGTTTGAAGCATGCAGGCAGTGCTGTTGGTGCGGTATTTCATTTGTAACCCAGACTAGCAAATTCTTCTACATTCATTCATAATTTAATTTTTATACCCTCCACATTGAAAAGGAAGGAGGGTATATTAACTTTGTCATTCCATTAGTAACATCCCTAAATATTCGTCGTAGACCCCATAAAGTGTATATATTCATGATCAGCATAAAATTCCAAACCGATTTATTTGACGTAAAGCTTCAAAATTTAGTAGAGCAATTTGTATTGTGTACGGTTGGTATTGAATATCAAAGATATCGGTATCATGTGTTTTGATGATTTTCGCCACATGATTCCACGGATTTGTCTAAAAATTGGTATTTGTAGTTCGTAATGGGTTTTAGCTCCGGGGGCGAAACATAGTATACAGAATTTTTTGCTTACCTGCACAATCAAAAATTGCACGACATCTTGTGCAGCAATGCCCAAAATGCAGGTAGCTCCATTGCATTTATCTGCACAATGAAGCAGGTATCTTTAATTTTACTTACGTGCACAAAAAGTGCAGTTATCTTTAATTTTCTATTCGTGCACAACAAAGCAGCAGCAGCATAACCATCTTTTAGTGTGGGAGAGGAAGCGAGAATATGTTTTTAATGCATGCTCTTTTCTTGTGTTGTTATTGTTTTTGCGAATACAAAAACAAAAACAAAGTGGTAGTTTTTAGTGTCTTTTTTGAGTTTGCAAAAAAATTGTCTTGTGCAGATAAATACAACTTTTGTAACCAAATTAAAAAAAATTACCAAATTTTCGAGGCAGGAATGTCCAATGTGCAGCTATCGATTGGGCACTTAAATACAATTAAAATAAAGGGATTCAGAAAAAAATGGCATAACAAAAGTTTTTTGGTCTGCAAAGGCCAATGCGCAGCTAATGTTGATGCAGGTAAATAGAAACCACTGTATATAGGTTCACGTTTTGGTAAAGCCCCCATATAACGGTACCTCCTGATATTCGTTATTTTGATGATTTTCGCTAAATTGTATGTATAGGTCCACGTTTTGCTAAGACCCCATATAATGGTACCTTCCGATATTCGGTATTTTAATGATTTTTCCCTTTTTGGCGACAGATTTGTATAAAAAAGATATTTATAGGTGATTATGGTTTTTGTCTCCGCTGGCAGAACATAGTATATTTATAGATCCACATTTTTGTATAGCCCCCCATATAATAACCTCCCTATATTCGGTTTTTGATGATTTTCGCAACATTTTTCTATGGATTCGATTAAAAGTGGTATTTTTAGCTCGTAATGCGTTCTACCTCCGGTGGCAAAACATTGAATATCTAGGTCCACGTTTTCCTATAGCGCACATTTAACGGTTCCATCGGATATTCGGCATTAAGTCACATTTTGTAATAGATTTGTGTGAAATTTGGTATTTGTACTTCATAATGGGTTCTGGGTTAGAAGTTCGGCTGGCCGAACTGAATGTCTTTACTTGTTTTTTTTTTTTTTTTTGTTTTTTATTCTATTTTTCCTTGGTCTTTTGTCGATTTGATACAGGAAAAAAATATTTTGAGATATAATCGAAACATTTAATGTAGAACTTTGAAAATCTATATATACCCTTGAATTAGTTTAAGAATATTTGGTTTTAAAATAGGTCATTCCGGACCACTTTCTGATATAGTCCCGATATAAGGGTAAGCCACTATTTAAATTATTTGTTATGTTTTAGCCATATTTTCCGCATAATTCCGCTAAACTTTGGAATTATATAACGCTTGTAGCTGTTATATTAGGGTCTATACGACGACATGGATCTGCATAGGAAACTTTTGTCATAAGCCATTACGAACTTCAAATACCAAATTTGAAACAATTCCGGTGAAAAGTATCAAAATACCGAATATCGGGAGGTAACGTTATATAGCGGTTCTACCAAAACGTGGACCCACATGGCCCTTTTTCAATACCAAAAGTCCTGCAGACATAATATACATTTGAATAAAATTTTAACAACCTACTTCGATTCGTTCAGAAGCCAGAGTGATTTCCACAGACGGACGGACATCGCTAAATCGACATAGAATTTTATGTTTCAAATGGAATGACAAACTTAATATACCCTCCATATTATGGTGGAGGGTATAACAAAATTAAGAGGTAAAGTATTTTCAATATTTTCAAGTCTTTAAATAATTAAAGAAATTTTGGGAAAATAGTACTTGTATGAATCAATTTAGATATAGAGGCACTACTTAATGAAGTGTCGATTTCATTGCCCTTGAATATTTCTCAAAAACATTCGTTTTATTGCCTTCTACTGTAGAACGCCCATTTAATAACCCCATATCTAAGCTGCACCACTTAGAGTGCAACAATTTGGGACCCCATTCCCACTTCAAGTTTTTAATTGAGCTGTATTTTGTTGTGATTTAAACAAGCTATTAATATTCTATTTTGTTCACAGTTTAATATCTACCCCCACCCACCCTCTTCACAAATAAAACCACATAACATCACACTTTTGTAGTAGCTACAGCATCACGATTTATGTCATAGTTCTGTTACAGCTGCTGCTGCTGTTGATGCTTTAGTAGGGTATTCCGTATCCAATAGATACGCATTAATTGTTTTCATCTTTGTTTTGATGTGTTTTTGCTGTCATTACTATTGTTTTTGTTGTTGGTGCTGCTACAGCGCCGATCATCGTTGCGTCGTACACACAGATTAAGGGGCCCACACACCAGTGAAAAACAAAACGCAAACGCCACAAGAAGCCGCAACAGCTCACACTGAATGAACGCCCTGCCAGCCGGCCGGTGGCTCCAGTGGAGGTTTTTGGGGATTGCTTTGTTGATGTTTTTATTGCTGTTAACGCTGCGCCGGCGCTCTGCTGCTGACTGTTATGGTGTTTTTTCCATTCAAAACCTCGCAAAAAATTTCATACAGACGTTGCTTTGTTGCTATTCGAAATTTGTATTTTCAGTTTCGATCTTCAATTCGTGCGTTGCAGTTGTTATTTCTCTGGCTTCCTACTGGCGATTCTAGATAATTCAAAACATACCCGGTGTTATTAAAAATTTAAAAAATAAAAAAAAACTATCCTCATAATCTCCGGAAGTTCTTCTTCTCTAGAGAATCCTTATCGTTCAGGCCGAACTGTAGCCAGTGCCATCTCTTATTTTCTGTGCCTGAGAATTTAAATTCTCAAAACCAATTCAAAATGAATTTCAAAGTTAGTCAAATGGAGAGGCTCTCCTGGAAACTCAAGTAAGTAGATGCCTGCCAAGTTTGAGTGGTGGTCCTCGAGGGTAAACAAAACTGAAAACAGAAAACCTAATTTGTCTAAAGAATTTAAAGTGTGCTTGCTATGACATGATCATGTTGCTGAATTGAAATGTGAGTCATGCCCACGACTGGCTGTCCATACAACTAACAAACAATTGGCTGTAATTGATTTATTTTCTTTTTGTGGAACAAATGCAAACATGAAATGCAAAAAAAAAAAAAATATTAAATGAGAATAAATAACAAAAAAAAAAACGCAATTTAATAATCGGATCAAAATTGTACTCTACATCAATTGGTTGACCAAAGCGAACTTCTGACAGCAGGAAAAACTGTGAAAATGTTCATGTGCAATGGGTGTGGAAATGTAAATGGAATGTTGTAGTGTCACGGACATATGTTTTGAAGTATAAAATATTTATTGAATCATTTTTGGAAATATTTAGTATTAAAACCAATATTCGTGTATGTATGTCAACTTGTACAAGCTGGAAGAGATTTTCATATTTACCTTAATTTTGAGTTAATTTTTTTAGCTTTTGAAAATTTTTAGAATTTAGACCCTATGTCTATATACGAAAATGAGCAATATCAAATCGATGCCTTTGGTATAAAAATATTAAAACTCACTATCCCATAAAAAGGGAAGGGAGTATCCGATTTGGCTGAAATATAGCACAATGTATTATTTGATTCGGCAATAGTTTTAAAAAATTATAATTTCGTTGAATGAAAAATTATGATATAATAAAATTGTTAGAAATTATTATAAACATCATGACATTTGTATCAGATTTACGAAAAAGAGCAACGCTGATTATGCTGACTGTCCCTCATATTTCATAGAATCAATGTTTTATATACCCTCAACCGTACATAGTATTGAAGTAATATTATGTTCGTCATTCCGTTTGTAACTCTTCGAAATAATAATTTTAGACTCAACAAAGTATAATATCGGCTATATCGGTCCACGATATCGTATAGCCCTCATATAACGGTACACCCCGATATTCGGAATTTAGGTGATATTAGCCACGTTTTTCAAAGGAATTGTCTGAAAATCAATACAAGTAGTTTCTTGTAACTATTTTACCCCCTGGAAGAGAATTATCTATATCAGCCCAGGATATCGTATAGCCTCCCCGATATTCGGTATTTTGGTGATTTCAGACAAATGTTTTTAAGGGAATTTTCTTAAAATCCACACAAGGGTTTCATTCTGAGTACTCTTATCTTCTAAGGGGTAAAGAAGAGAATTATCTAAATAGTTCCATGTTTCAGTATAGCCCCCATATAACGGTTTTCATTTGAGCGGTATTTTCCGACGAAATTTTTTTTGAAATCTTTTAAGCTTCTTCCAAATGGTGGAGGGTATAAAAAGTTCGAACTTAGCTGTTTTTTTTTCTTATTTGTTATTGTAAAAATGTGTTATACCTGTCCAAATTGTCAAAGTTTTGAAAAATTAAAATAATTACAAAGTAAACGGAATCTATGTTTAGTCCAAAATTTTAATCCTAGTAGTTCCATTGAACTAAAATTAGATGAGAAAATTGACAATATGTACCAACTCATTTTTACCGACTTTGCCTGGGTAGACCCAACCGACAATAAATAGGAGTTTCAAGGTAAATTTCATAAAAATATCCTCTGGCACTCCACCCTGGCTAGGTCGGTACTCCTCTTGAAACTTTCCAACAAGGGGTCAAATTTTCCATAACAAACGTGACATATGTTCAATACTTCATTAAATATTTGTCTCAAATTTAGATCACGAACTCAAAATGGATTCCATCCGTTATTATCAGTATGTACGAAAATTCGAAAGTCAGGCCGACAAATTCCTAAAATCCTTGAAATGTTTATGTTCCGTTATGAGCTACTACATTTAGTATGTCAGTCTGTCTATCAGTATGTCTGTTGAAATAACGAAAATGAGATATATCGGTCCACGTTTTGGTATAACTCCCATATAACAATACATCCCGATATTCGGAATTTTGATGATTTTTGTCACATTTGTCCATAGATTTATCCAAAAATTCGTATTTGTAGTTCGTTCTTAATATCTTTTATTTGTTTCTAAGTAATATACCATTCTAAATCCCCTGTCTTGTATGACCCTCATCTAAGTACGGTTTCTTCACACCCTCTCCCCTTGTGTAAAAATCTAAAGAATTGTAAAATAATTTCTTCTACAAATCATGTTAACATTTTATTACAATTTTAATGGTCTAGAGGTGAAGATAGTCTATGGTCTCGAGTGACACATTGCGTGTTGACCCATTACGTGCGTAGATTTTCATGGAACACCTATTTTAATTAATATAATTAAAAAATCTATTTGAGCGCCTATTAAAATTGTGGCTAATTTAAAAACACGAAAATAAACAATTTTTACAATTTACATGTAATTTTACAACGACATCATATTTTTATGGGGGACTTGGTGGCCACTTTTAAGATCTTCAGATTTCCAGTAATTTGGATGCCAATCAATTTGTTATGGCAGAAATCCAACCCATGTCAAACATAATTGTTAAAAAATATTGAAATTATTAGCACACAATCTATTTAATTAAGGTTTGTCAAAACGAGAAAAAAGTTCTATGTATGTCATCATTGCTCTGCATCACATTATAGTTCCTATCTGAATTGTTGTTATTAAATATTCCAAGACATTTATGCAGCTGCTGCCTTTGATAATCGTGAAGCGCTCTGACTTATTCCTGATAAGATTTATAGCCTAATTGTTTGTTTCTTTTTTATATGTTATCAATGAAAGTTTGTTTTAACAGGCCAACAGCTTTGTGCAAAAAGAAATCTTAAGTAAATTTTAAGGTTTAATGCGAAGACCTTGACAGTGAATTATACTTTGCAACACTTGCTCAATAAAAACATTTCTACATTGAGAAAATAATGGTTAAATTCTTAAATAGAATACACCGTTGCTTCCAAAAATTCCTTTTTTTATGAGGATTTACTGCCCACAGCCCGCACACTGACGAAGGGAGTACAAAAATCTCCCTAAGCCTTGGAAAATAACGATTATTTTCTTAAAAATAACCCTACACGAATTCTGATTCACTTTGTATACTCTCCGACACATGGAAGACCGATTTTTCATACTTTTTAAATCCTAATATTTGTATCAGTACTATGTTTGATATGAAGACCGACAATCTTATAAAATACGAAAAAAAACCCGATCGCCTTAAAATTTCACGCATCTCAATATTTCTAAAAAGTCAAGACCTAGAGAGAAGATGGGATAAAGCGGACCACTCTTTCTTCTTCACTGAGGGTCAGTACTCTGCCACATGCAGACAAATCAAAGTGATACACCAAACAATACTATGCCTATAGTACTGATCAGATCCCTTCTTAAAATGTAATAAATGTTATCACTTTACGGAGGAGGTAACGGAAGGTATGGGACAATTTTATCCATTTTTACCGTTATCTAATTCTACCGTTAGTGGTAAGATTGAAACAGTATATTATGTCCTTGCAACGGGTCTAGTATTGTCAGAAAAACTGAAATATGCGAAGAGAATTGGTGACAGCTTCCCATTTCAATTCCAACTTTTAAAAATTTGTATGGAGAGGACATGAGGGAGGGCCTTAGCCTTATATACATATTATGTGCATAGTTTCAACGGACTCCTCCTTGGTTTTCTATGACATGTAATTTATATACCCTACACAAAATAGTGGTAAGGGTATTATGTCTTTGTGTAACATTTGTAACATGGAGAAAAAAGCGAGGTAGACCCATAGTTACTTTTGAGGATCTTTATAGAATCAATGACAATGACAATCGATTAAAATTTAGATATAGCTCCCATATGTCAGTCGAAATGACCTGAAATATGGCAAATCCAACCGAATTCCGTCTAGAAGCAAGCACCTCCAATTTGATGCAAAACGGTTCAGATATAGCACATATGTTTCATCCAATTTGGTGTTTTAAGTCCTTCACATCCGTTATATGCCCTCCGCAAAAATGATATTTGCTACCAGATGTCAGATACCGACCAGAAATACATCTGCCAAATTTTATCAAGATCAGTTTAGATTTGGATACAGCTCCCATATATATTTTTATCCGATTTCCTAAATAGAGTAAATTTTGTCACTTCCGACCGAATTCAGTTTAAACGCAATTAATTCAAATTTGGTGAAAATCGGTTCAGTTACAAATGCCTCCGTCTACTTTAGTGGAAACCGATTCACAGTAGGATATACGTTCCACTCTAAACTGCTCCTAAGTATGCAACGAAAACCGATCATAATTAATGGGCATAGTGATGTAGGGTATCGTAAAGTCGACTCCGCCCGACTTATCACCTTTCTTTACTGGTTTTTATTTGAAGATGTTGACCCTTTGGCGGCAGGAACCAGGAGAAATTGAGCGAAATTGCCCATCTTTGCACTTGATAAAACTAAAAACAAAAATCCTATCCTATCCTAATCCTATCAAGTTCCACCTTCGGGAATCAACGAGAGCGCATCGACCACAAATGTCCTGAAGCAGTTTTCTTCATAGAAAGAACTGTAAGAACTGTCAGTTTTAGTAAAAAAGTCTTCAAATATATGTTGCTGAGAATTTCACCCCAGCAATACCTTTGCCAACCTGAATCAACTCTTTGCTCAAAAAAAAAATCCACATTTATTGAATATGTTCCAATTGAAGCTCAGGACAAAACTATTGAATCGGTAGAGAGTTCAAAAACTACTGTCTGTTTTAGTCATTGGAGTTCCAAAACTAATGTCTGTTTCAGTCATTCGATTTAACCGTTTTGATAAGAAGTGTAGGAATACAACTTTGTTTCAAATTGATAACTACAAAAACTTGGACTTGAACTTGAAAATAATGTAATTTCAAGTAAAATTCAACAATTCATTTTTCTATCAGCAATAATAATATTAATAAAATAAAATTTGTGGAAATTCAGCGTCAATAATCATCAAAAAATTTAGCAAAAATGACTGTGGCTGTTGTTATTCATCAAATAGGCGCTTGAAAACAAGCTGTGAATCTAATTAACAATTAAAAATGAAAAAAAAAAAAAAAAAATGCCAAACATATAAAAATAATAGAAAAATGAATGCTAAAATGCAAAGAAGATTAACTAACGAAATGTGAAACAATCATATTTCAACAAAAGCGATATGAAAATAAGCTACAAGTGCATGAAATGGAATGTGCCTTTAATAGCTAACTGGGAATCCTCAGATTTGTGGCTTAGATATGCATTTGTCATTGTGGCTCTTCAGGAGAGATGAGATCACTTTTGGATCGTAAATTGAATTAAATTAAAACTATGTCTCGTTCTAGATTTTTTGAAGTATGAATATGCAAAAAAAAAAAAAAAAAACAAGCAACGGAAAATATGCATCTGTCAAATAAAACAATTACAGCATTGTTATAAACTTAATATAGAATTAAATTCTAGCAAGATTCGGTCATGCATTTCGAACAATGTGCAAAACTTTGTGATTTTCTCTTTGTTGCGATATTTGCAATGCACTTAGCTGCAGCTACTGTCGAACGCATCTGGTTTACTAACAAAAATACAATAATTTTGTAACATTATTGTTGTTATTGTCATTATCATTGGCATTGCTTATTACAAATCTAAGCTCTGTGTGTGTGTACGGCGGTTAGATGTTGTTGCTCCGCAAATATTATTTAATCATCTCTCGGTATGTGGCGGCGGGTGGTTGTACATCATCCATCCATCCATCCCGCCAGTCATCCACTTTATGTGCCACTTGTATGAATGAATTCACTTAACAAACCGAACCACACCCATTGGATAAATTTATAAATATTTGCGATACAAAATTTGTTGTTGCTATTTTATTATTAATGAGGACTAAAGAAAACATGGACATAATGCGATATAGAATTATCGCTTTTTTTCAATTAAAAGAAATTTAAATTATATTTGGTTTTGTTTATTATTGATAAGCCAACGAATTAATGACAATTCTTGAAAAATTATCTAACAATTGCATCATAATTGTATATAACAATTATACAATTGTTTATGAGATGAGTTTGGATTCCAAAAACGAGTATTTTCGAAACTCAAAAAAAGTGTTTTGAAAAGTATTAACAGATCAATACACTCTCCTCTGGTCCTAAATAATACTTATAATTCCATGCATCACATTGAGAAAACAGCCAAATAGCAGAGGTGCCTTTAAAAACTAATTGCTAATCCCAATATGGAATGTGTTAATTAAATAAACAGCCAAGTCCATGGAATATAAATTAGAAACAGGTATGTGCTTTGTTTTTAATTAATTCCACCTGCAATTGCTAAAAGCCTGGCTAGAAAAAAATCAAAAATCATGAATTTTTTGCATCTTTCAAACGGGTAAAGTGTGTTCAGACTCAATTTGGATAATATGTTTACTGTTTAGAAATATTATCATGCGCTATATATTTTGTACTACTGAATAGATTTATAATTTTTTTTGCGTGTCATATATAACATATTTAAATATTTATTTTGGACAAGGGAGTATTTGTTTTCCAAAAAATATGGCTCAGAATATTTTACATTCACCAAGTAAAAATACATTAAGTTCGGCAAGGCCGTTCTTCAAATATCCTCCACCAATGGGTAAATACAACATTTTTATGGAAAGTATCTGAATTCAAACGTGTTGCGCTTTATACTACAAACTCCAAGTATGAGTATGGTTATATGGGGGCCATACTAAAACGGGAGCTCATATAGGCGATTGTAATCTATTGCGAGTCTTAAATACCAAATTTTACATAATTTCTTGGGTAAATGCGACTAGGATGACTAGGACTAATATGGACAATGTTTTGACGCCGGCTGTAGAACCCATTATAAAGTACAGATACGAAATTTCTCCCAAATCTATTAGAAAATGTGGCTTTAATCATCAAAAAAACCTCTATAGGAAAACGTGATCCCATATATTCAATATTTTGCCACCTGTGCTGAAACCCATTACGAACAACAAATACCAACTTTTAGATAACTCCAGCATTTAAATGTGAATAAATCTAAATCTAAATCTGGTAGCTTTGCCCGACGTCAAAGAAGTGGACGGAAGAAAACAGCAATATCAACAGAAATGGTTCGAAAAGTAAAGAAGCAACTTGATCGAAACCCGCATCGCAGTGGTCGAAAAATGGTTCGTGAGCTGAACATATCGCAATATCCCATTCGGCAAATATTGAAACATGAGCTCGGGGTAAAGCCAATGGATTTCCAAAAAGTCCAAGAACTTACATCGCAACAGAAGGAAAATAGACTCAAAAGAGCTAAAAAGTTGCCTCGCTTGGCCGAAAGTGGTGAACTGCCGAATTTGGTTTTCTCCGATGAGAAAACATCGTTGTCCAGCAGTTTGTAAACAAACAAAATGATCGTGTTTACTTGCCAAAGCGGTCAGCTGAAAATGTGCACCTTCGGTTGGACCCTAGAAATCAAGTGCTGGCCATGATGATGGTGTGGGCCGCCATAACAGCCGATATTCGCTCTCCACTCGTATTAATCGACCGTGGCATCGGATGAAATGCCGAATATAATCGTTAAAATATTCTGGAGGGTGTATTAAAGCCTTGGACACGCAAACATTTTGGCCGACATTTTTTTCTTTCATTCAATTCAATTTTAAAAAATGTAAAAATTATGGCGTTTGACTTTATTGCAGATTTTTATCTCACCCTGTTATGCAGTTTTCGTATAGACCCCAATGTAATAATTTTAACAGAATTGTTAATGGATTTTTTTCCTTTTTACTTGTTTTTTTTTAATATAGCTTTACATATTCGAAGCGTAAAACATATTTGTAATCTAAGTTTTCCTCACAAGGGGACGTACACGACCCATTTTCTATACCCATGATTCTGGATGTAATCCAAGGTCTCTGTCTTATTTCTAAGCTCCAAAGCTGTACAATTGCGAAATATATCTTAAACTGTAGGGGTCCCTTTGTCAAAACTATATAAAGGCCTTAACAACATTTGACCTGAGATCCCAAAACTCCTTTGGAGTTTGGATCTAAAAAGGAGTACTATCACACAACCCAGACAGTTTGTTGTACAGTAAAAATCTACAACGAGTTAGGAACAAGCGCTAATTTTTCAGAAATACTCATAATTTTTTATTAAGAAAATATATTTTTTATCGTACTTATGAAGTTTAAAAATTTCTTTCCTTCAGAGACTCACAATGAAATTTGATCTATTATTCCGGAATTTATAGTAAAATTTTATGTAGAATATTTCTTCTTTTGACACCTTCCACCTAAAATGAAATTTTAAAATTAATTGTTTTTGGGAAAATTAACCCACATTTTTTTTGGATTCTGTGGAAAAAGGTTTTTTTTTCTTGGTAACTTATGGTAAAATTTGACGAGGATTATTTTTGCCTTCTAAAATTATGCTTTGTTGGAGAGTATTGCACAAACTCAGAAAAAGTACGGTTTTAACCCTAAAATGTGTTTTGAATAGGAATATGATATAGGAATTCTAGGCATTAAGGTAAAATTTTAACTCCTGACGTCTTCCAGGGCTTATAGCAGAATTTTTTGACAAATCATGTTGTAGAAAATTTAGTTTAATAGGAGTTTAACCACTTTAAAAAAAAGTACCAAAAAAAACCGCTAAATGTTCACGACCTAAATAATCCTCGATTTATTATCTGCACTATATCCGAAGACTCAATATACCTAAAATGCATGGGTTCCGGGGAATCTTGATCCGGAAATTTCCAAAAGTGTTATATAGGGGGGAACATGCCCCCTCTGTTTTATTTACTAGCCAATGTAAATTTTTCAAACGCCGCTACACGTGTGTTCTTTGTTAGCCCCACTGTTATAATCTACAGGATTTGCCCGTAATTATTGAAAGCATTAAATTCTGCTGCACAGTGTTATTTTTTCTATATTTGATTTTATTTCCAATCCAATGTTCATTGAAACACTGTGCTAAATTCGTAACATGACTTTTCCGAAGCAATTCATATTTCGCCTGAAACTATGCTTTAATTTTTGTTAAAATTTCAAATTTATTTTTTTCCAGATGCATGGTCAATAAATACACAAACTACCGTCTGAGTACAAATGAAAACCAAATAATCGATACTGAATATGGACAAATTAAGGGTGTCAAACGAATGACGGTCTACGATGATTCTTACTACAGTTTCGAGAGTATACCATATGCTAAGCCTCCAGTGGGTGAGTTGAGATTCAAGGCACCCCAAAGACCAGTACCATGGGAGGGTGTACGTGATTGCTGTGGGCCAGCCAACAGATCGGTACAGACAGATTTCATAAGTGGCAAACCCACAGGATCGGAGGATTGTCTATACCTGAATGTGTATACCAATGATGTAAGTTATTGAAAATCAATTAATTTTGAAATGTAATTTTAATTTGGGAAAATTGTTTTTCAGTTGAATCCTGACAAAAAACGTCCTGTTATGGTTTTCATCCATGGCGGTGGTTTTATTTTTGGCGAAGCTAATCGTAACTGGTATGGGCCCGACTACTTCATGAAGAAACCCGTGGTTTTGGTAACCGTGCAATATCGTTTGGGTGTGTTGGGTAGGTGAACAAATAACTTTTCCTTCGGCGTTTCGACTCATTAAAGGGCATTTTTATTACAGGTTTCCTTAGCCTGAAATCGGAAAATCTCAATGTCCCCGGTAACGCTGGCCTCAAGGATCAAGTAATGGCCTTGAGATGGGTCAAGAGTAATATTGCCAATTTCGGTGGCGATGTAGACAATATTACCGTCTTCGGCGAAAGTGCTGGTGGGGCCTCAACCCATTACATGATGATAACCGAACAGACCCGTGGTTTATTCCATCGTGGTATCATGATGTCCGGTAATTCCATGTGCTCATGGGCCTCTACAGAATGCCAAAGTCGTGCGCTCACCATGGCCAAACGTGTTGGCTATAAGGGAGAGGAGAATGAAAAAGATATTTTGGAGTTCCTAATGAAAGCCAATCCCTATGATTTGATTAAGGAGGAGCCACAAGTTTTGACACCCGAAGAAATACAAAATAAGGTCATGTTTCCTTTTGGCCCCACTGTAGAACCATACCAGACAGCCGACTGTGTGGTGCCCAAACCGATCAGAGAAATGGTGAAGAGCGCCTGGGGAAATTCGATACCCACATTGATAGGCAATACCTCCTACGAGGGTTTGCTTTTCAAATCAAGTAAGTGAAGTTAGCGAATCTCATGAAAGAAGGCATAATTTGTTAATATCTCATTTTTTAGTTGCCAAACAATATCCGGATGCGGTAAAAGAGTTGGAATCCTGTGTTAATTATGTGCCTCGGGAGTTGGCTGACAGTGAACGCAGTGCCCCGGAGACCCTGGAAAGGGCTGCCATAGTGAAAAAGGCCCATGTGGATGGCGAAACACCCACTCTGGATAATTTTATGGAGGTATTTAAATATTTCTTTTTGAGTAAATGTTTCAATGGATAATTTTTATTTCTCCCCTCAGCTTTGCTCCTATTTCTATTTCCTCTTCCCCATGCATCGCTTCCTACAATTGCGCTTCAACCACACAGCTGGCACTCCCATTTATTTGTATCGTTTCGATTTCGATTCCGAAGAAATTATTAACCCCTATCGTATTATGCGTTTTGGCCGTGGCGTTAAAGGTGTAAGCCATGCCGATGAGCTAACCTATCTCTTCTGGAACATTTTGTCGAAACGCCTGCCAAAGGAAAGCCGCGAATACAAAACCATTGAACGCATGGTTGGCATTTGGACGGAATTCGCCACCACCGGCAAACCATACAGCAATGACATAGCCGGCATGGAAAACCTCACCTGGGATCCCATAAAAAAATCCGATGATGTCTATAAATGTTTAAATATTGGCGATGAATTGAAAGTTATGGATTTGCCAGAAATGGATAAAATTAAACAATGGGCAAGTATATTCGATAAAAAGAAGGAATTGTTTTAAACGATGGCATAGATGGAGCGGACGGCAGCAGCAGCAGATGCTGTCGCCTGGATGACGATGAGTTGCAATATTTTATTTTTTATTAAATCAATTTTTTTTTATATGCATATTGTTGTAGCAGTGTTAACAAGTTAAATACTTAATGACTGTACTATTGTAATCTTTTAATATAATTATTTCTTTGTTAATAAAGCCATTTACAAGTATTTAAAAATAATTAATAATTGTACAACTCAAACTGGGCTAAGGATGGCCATTTGATTGGTAATACTCTGCAATTACTTACATTTTTGCCTCGTTCGAATGGCTGTAGATTTTAATTAAAACCTACTTTTCAACTGAGAATCTATCTGCCATTGAAGTAGACTCATGACTCAATGAGGCTACCTTCTTTATTGGATTGATCAGATATGATTTCAGAGCAATTTTGTATTTGTAAAAATATGTGTGTGAAATGAAAACTACGTATCTGTATTGGTGGCATTTAATGTCTGTGCAACTTATGTAGGTTGAAGCGGATTTTTAAATACGTTTATATGGAAAAAATTCGAATATTCTTTTATGGATCACTTTTGAGCAAACCTTCTGTGCCAAAATGACCTATATTAGTAGTTTGCATAATAAGAAATCAAAATACCAAAATTTGGAAAAATTAAATGGAAGTGGAATTCCTTTTGAAATTCTAGATTTTAATGGTGGACTCACTAAAATCTCGAAAGTAAATCAGGCATTACAAACGCACTCAATGTAGAAAAAACTTTTGTGGGCATTTGTCTGTGTCTTCTCCAGAAACCTGACGGAGCTGCCATTGGCCTTCTGCACAGAATTGTTACGGACATAGGGTAGCCTCATGTCCGGGTGGGGTTTCAGGCGGAACGACAATATTGAAATATAACCAGTAAAGAAAGCCTTAAAGTCGAGCGGGGCCGATTTTATGATACCCTACATAACTTTGCTAATTTAGTAGAGCTCCGCATAACAATTAAAAGTTTTTATGGGAGAATTCCATCATACACGCTATGATTATAATTATAATGTAAAGTTCGAAGGACTAAATATGCCGAAGCGTTTGTATCTTTTAAATTCGGACTTGTATTGCCCATTTGGTGTACAATTAATTTGAAATCGGATAAAGATATATATGGGAGCTACATCCACATCGGAACCGATCTCGATAAAATTTGGCAAAGATATTTCTGAGCTGTATTTCATTTATTTCCCCGAATATCGTTGTTACGGAGTGCATATTACGGCTGTGGGTAACAAATATGACAAATCGGATGCACAGTATATATGGGAGCTATAGCTATGTCTGAACAGATCTTCAGCAAATTTGAAATACTAGCTTCTAGACTCAATTCGGTCGTAAGTGTCAAATTTCATCCCATTTGGACAAATATTAGACGTTTGGTGCAAAATCAAAGGTAAATCGGACGAAGTTATATATGGGAACTATATCCAAATCTGAACCGATCTCGATGAAATTTAGCAAATGTATTTCTGAGCTGTATTTGATATATGTCCCCAAATATTGTTGTTACAGAGTGCATATTACGGCTGCGAAGGACAAAAATAACAAATCGGATGAACAATTTATATGGGAGCTATAGCTATATCTGAACCGATTTCGATAAAATTTGGCATACTTATTTTCAGGCCTAATTTGGTTGTATGTGCAAAATTCCATACTATTCGGACTGATATTACACGTTTGGTGCACAATAAAAGCAAATCGGAAGAAGATATATATGGGAGCTGTATCTAAATTTTGACCGATTTCAATAGGGTTCGTCCTTGGACCAAACAAATGATTTGTGTAAAATTTCATCTGGATAGGGCAATAAATGCGAACTGTACTTTGTTTACAAAAATACATGGACAGACGGACGGATGGGCGGATATGCATAAGTCGACTCAGAATGTGATTCTATGCAGATCATCAAAAGGAACTATGGGTCTATCTCGTTTCCTTTTGCTTGTTACAAACATATGCACAAAGACATAATACCCTGACCACCTTGTGGTGTGTAGAGTATAAAAATACCGATACAACGCTAATTATATGCGAAAGAAGAGCGAGAGAGAGAGAGAGAGTGAGAAAGAAATAGAAATGTGAGGGAATAGCAAATATCGTGGTGGGGAACGTTTATCTTGGCCGCATTCGAGCTATATGGCTCATCATATAATGACCATATCCGTGACTTCGTTTCCTGCCACCACGATAGTGTTCCCTTGTAGTAGACATCTTGGAAACCAAATTTTCGAGCTTATTCCTCTTCGGACGGTTTTTTTTCTATCGAGGTCTAAACGATCTAAGATGGCTAAAGTTTCTTGAGTATCACGATGCTGTTGAAAAGAAAAGAGAGAAATTATTAAAGTGGGGAGAGAGTGGTGAACGATAATTTATACTGATCTGGGTGTAGGTCATCCAACAACATGGCTCTTCTTCGAACAACGAACCGCATACGTACGTGGAATAATGCAGTTTTCCAGTTTTAAAACATATTGAAAAGAATCAAACAACTAACACAAAAAAAAATATTCAAATTGAAAGATTACATAAATCACATAGGACTTCTACGCCTACTAAGGACAAAATTGGTCTCCCATACCTTAAGAAAACCTCATGGGTCTTTCATGCCTGTAAAAGACCTCATAAGTCTTTTATACCTAAAGAAGAAAACAAGGAGTTTTATACTTAGAAGAAGGGTTCAAATATCTCCGAGTCTTCTACACCTTTAGAAAACCTCATAGATCTCTTATAGCTTTAATAGATCTCATAAGTCTTAAATGACTATAAAAGACGCCATAAGACTTATACGCCTTTAGAAGGCCTTAAAGGTCTTTTATGAATATTTTAGGTTTTCTATGTTTTCTATGTCTATGTCTTCCTATGCCTGAGTGAGACACCATAGGTTCTCTTTATCCATGGACTTCTACGCCTTTAGGACTCCTATGTTTATAGAAGATCTCATAGGTCTCCCATCTGCTGTCATTTCTAAGACACTCATCCAACATATCGTTAGAGCACTCCAGCATTTAAATGTGAATAAACCTCTTGTGTTATTTCATCGCTCGTTACCATGATACTGGTAGCATAGCCCGACGTCAAGGAAGTGGGCGGAAGAAAACAGCAACATCAGCAGAAATGGTTCGAAAAATATAGAAGCGACTTGATCGAAACCCGCGTCGCAGTGTCCCAAAATGGCTCGTGAGCTGAACATATCCAATTCCATTCGGCAAATATTAAAACATGAGCTCGGGGTAAAGCCATTGTAATTCCGAAAGTGGTGAACTGCCGAATTTGGTTTTCTCCGATGAGAAAACATTCGTTGTCCAGAAGTTTGTAAACAAGCATAATGAAAATGTGCACCTACGGTTGGCCACTAGACCTCCAGCGCCGGCCATGGCGATGGTGTGGGCCGCCATAACAGCCAATTGTTGCTCTCCGCTCGTTTTAATCGACCGTGGCATCAGAATAAATGCCGAATATTATTGCGAAAATATTCTGAAGGGTGTATTAAAGCCTTGGTCACGCAAACGTTTTGGCCGCAGACCTTGGACATTCCAACAGGACTCAGCACCATCGCACTCATCACGCGCCACCCACCAAAATCTCCGGATACCATTCTGTTGGACTATTGTGTCTGGAGTATTTTGGAAAGCAAGATTGGCACTAAAAGATACCAAAGTGTCGATTACTTCAAGCAAGCGCTTCACCGGGAATGGGCCACAATACCGCAGAGCAACATTCGGGCAGCATGTGACGGTTTCATTGGCCGTTTGAAGACCACATTATAGTACGATTTACAAAAGAAAAAAAAATCGACAACAATGATATTTGTTTTTTATCGAGATCGGTTCAGATATGGCTCCCATATATATCTTCAACCGGTTTCAAGTATATTGTGCACTCAGTTGGTGTACAACTTTTTTTATATAGAACATTGAAATATGGGTACGATATGAAAATAGGTAACCCTTTCCGTATTTTAAATGTTTGGAATATATGGTTCTCAGCTTTAATTATACCCTACAACACTATGTGTTGGGGTATTATAAGTTTGATTGGGCCAGAATTTATGTAACACATCGAAATATTGGTTTCCCATATAGGAAAGTATATATGGATCTTCCTAGCTCGCCGAGCTGAGTCGATCTAGCTATGTATGTCCGTCCGTCCGTCTGTCCATGTTACTTTGTAATCACGCTACAGGTCGCAATTATGACCCGATCCTTACGAAATTTTGCACGAAGGTGGGGTTAGGATCAGAATAGGAGCCTATTTCTTTAGGAGATGATCGCCAAATGTTTAGGGGTTGAAATGGACCAAATACTGAAAAAATATCAGATTTTGCAGTAGCTATACAGGTCGCAATTATAGACCAATCGACGCGGAATTTCGCATGTAGCTAGAGTTTAGAGCGGGGAAGAAGCCTACCAATTTGGCTGGTCATTGCATAATATTTAGCGGGTAAAATAGACCATATCTTTTGTGTTGAAAAAAATTCAAAATTTTTCATTAAACCGCGAATATTTTAAATCCCGGCGATATCACAAAGCCATGGCAAGGTTATTTCTGATCTTTACATTGATGTTAACATCCAACAAAACGGATATATAGCAAAATATGTGCGATATATATGTTTATCAAAGAGATATGCTTGAAAGATCTCTTAGGTGTCGAGAACGACTGAACTGATTTCGACACTTCTCATTAATTCAGAATGGCCTCTTGGCAGGAAAGAAAAAACGTCTAAAAAAATCGCATAAAAATATCTCTCTAAAGATGAAAACATTGATTTTGTAACATTTTCTCATATTTTTTCCATTTTGTCATATTTTTGGCATATTTTCATTTTGAATTAAACATTTGGTAATATTTCTACAGCTAACAAAACTAAGTAGTTAGGATAACAGGATATCATATACAGATCGCATTTATGGCCCGATCCATACGAAATTTTGCATGGGGATAAGATGAGAGTCAAAATAGAAGCCTACTCTTTTTGGAGATGATCGCCATATATTTAGGGGTTCAAATGGACCAAAAAGTGCAAAATTGTCAGCAGGTCGTAATTATCGCCCGATCCTCACGCACATTTGAATGGTGGTTACATTGGACATTGCAAAAGCCAAGCAGTATTGGATGGTCATAGAAAAATATTCAATGTGTGAATAGTTTGTCAGCTTTTGTAGACAAAATACGAAAATGTC